GAGTATAGCGAGCTGGCAAGCAATATCTATCATACTGAACAAAACATATCAAACTAACAAAGGTTAAGGAAATAAGTTCTCTCAGTTTATTCTCTCTCTGTGTCTCTCTGAAAATTGTTCTCTCTCAACCCCAATAGAGCAGGCTCTGCGGCCTTTGGAGCTGGGAGAGGAGACGGCGTAGCCTGGTGCAATAGGTTTTGTACCAAGGCTCATGCCAGCCTCTCCTATAATCATATCAGTGGTCACTCCATAAAGAATGTTAAATGCATTCACCAATGTTATATTCAGTGTACATCAATAAGCATTCACAGACACTTCCACTATTCATTCAACCCTCACTCATTTCTCAACGAGCATGGCATTGTTGCCGTGGTTGTAGGGAGTATTCACTACATAGGGTAGCTAGCCACGCTGGGGCCCAAGGCATAGTGAGCGAACTCTACAATGAACATCAAATGAGACCTCTAGATGTTTATTCTGTAGAAAGAATATAAATGACGTCATATACATGTATGAGCTGAACTGGGCTTGCCTCACTACAAACTGCAATATCAATTTTATTATTACTCTTCTCCTGGCTACCTCTTGAGGATTTGGCTTGGAAATGAACTCAAGAATATATTTTATTATTTTAGTCTAAATTAGGGAATAATCATCGAGTGTAGCATTTAGATCTAGGGTGTTTAAGTTGAAGGTAGACATGACAGAATAATAGTAGCAGCTGAGGGCTCTACACCAAGGACAATACTCTGACCCAGGGCAGTAGTGGCCTGACCAGGGAAGAGAACAAAAACCCCATATCGGAACTTAGTTGTTCTATTAATCCCGAAATAGCACTCATATATATGTTTTAATGGTTGCTGTTAGATTGTCTATCTCGAATTTAATCAAGTTTCTAGTCGTCGGAGATACTCTCCGTAGGGTGGCTAGACACCAAAGCCAGTGCAAGGTCGGTAGCCAGAATTCCACCTTTGGGGCTCGCGTTGGGGACAAGCTTCCCTACTACGGCTTATTAATAATTTACTTCCATTCCAGCAATTGGGAGCGGCCGGTGTTACTGGATCCTGCAGCAAACCTGCTGGGGCATTACAGTCGCTGTAGTATGACTTCGTAGTCACATTCTTGAATTTGCCCTCAACCTTCGCTGATAATATCAATATATAATAATACAAACTCTGTTATTTAGATGCAAGCGGTTCCCGTGAGCCCGTCGGCTCTTTTGAACCCTGGGCGTTACAGCGATCGGCCGCAGGGCCGGGCGATGATCCTGGCGAAGTGTCGGTGTGGTGGGTAGCAACTAAAGGCATTAACAGTAGGACACGGAAGAACCATTCTTCGTAGGTTAATATTAGTAGCTTAGCAGTTAGTGGAGCACTATTATTTATCTCTTTTAGTATTGCATTGGTCCTCTTTCATCAAACAAGGTCTCTCAAGGTTCCACTTGAGCTCTAGTAGTGCCCGTGCACTACACATAGCAAGTAAGGCTACGCCCAACTTGTCCTACAAGGAGGGGCGAAGTTCCGGACCCTCTACCGCAAATACTACGCCAATCAGTCTAGAAAGGAAGATAAAATTCAGATATTCCGTTGCGTGTCTCCGTTTACACCCTGCTCTGAATTCGGCGTCCGGGAACAAGGAGCTTGCTGGCCTCCGAGCTACTTGACGCCATTGATCTCATAGCATAACTCGGCGGAAACCCTTCAGTACTCATGCCTGATATATGTGATACTGTACGAAAACATTTAGGACAGTAACGATTCCCGTGGCTTGCTCCCCCCTAAGCTGGTTTTAGTACTGTGCCCAGTGGAATGCCCTGCGGTTCAACAGGGCAAGGGCTAGGGAGAAAACCGGTGAAGTCACCGGAACCCGGTTTGGAACCGAGAATTTCTTCTTCAAGAATTCAGTTTTTATTGTTTCGAGCTGCAAGGGTATCTGTAGACCCAACCTAGCTCATCAAGAGAACGCACATTAAGCGCACATAGGGCGGTGTAGTCGTGTCTAACGTCTAGCAACGCACGTGGAAACCGAAACGAGATACAGTGAAGTTGGTGAACCTGGTGAGCGCAACCACCGATTGATCTGAATGGTTTTCCAAGGCAAATGCGTGAGAAACACATTTCTGGCGCATGTGGAGCCTTTTGCGCGATAAGTCCCTTCAGGACCCAAGGGGGGTGGCTTGCAGCTGGAGTCAGGCGCTGCTGCAGGCGATCGGCTGCAGGTGGTCTGCCGAGACAACCTAAAGGCCGTTCGTCAATGTACGTGGTTTTACCAGGGTCATATCCAACGGGAAGCTACCGACCAACATAAATATGATGGCGCCCAAGAAGGACAAAAGGCCAACTAAAAAGAGAACGTAAAGCTCTAGCTAATGTAATGTAACTGACGCATTATAGTGCCACCACACTACACCCAGCCCACCAGCTGCACTCTAGTGATCGTCAAACCGCGCACACGGGACTAAAAAGCTTGAGGAGTTTCGTATAGCTTGACCGACGATCAAGGTCATCCAGTAAAGGCAAACTCGTTTCGTTCTGTACTTCCTTAATAACTCTGTGGCTGCACACTCGTGACCGCTTTTGAGCACCTTTCCCGAGGCACGTTTGTTCGCAGCTGAGAATTTGAGTGACGTTCAAATTTGGTAGTATGCCGCAGCGCGTACAGTCAAAACGGCATATAGTCAAACCGCTCCACCATAATTCAGTCGGTTACCCGCGGAAATATACATCTCCATAGGTAAAAAACATGAAAGACATGTAAGTCAATGGTGCGTCTGCCCATCGTCATGCTGGCAATGCATATATTTACTCGTCTTCAATCGCCCCGTCTTTTTGAACGGTCACACCCCGAGTAACAATTTTCGACTTCAGCCCCCATCTTGCCACAAGGCTCGCTGGAGAGCACAAGCTTGTTACTCAGTTTCGTACCCACTAGTGAGCCTTGGTGATCTAGGTAGATAAAGATAGATCCTTTTCATGCGGAAGTCAGGAAATTGTGCTTTACATGAAACGATCTTTTGAGGTTTCATACCTGCGCTAACCGGTCCCAAATTAGTCTCGGCTAACAGACTTCTGCCGAAAAGTCAGGAGCGTAGCAAATCGAATTCTCCATGAGCGAGTTATGGCCCGCTCATCAAGAAATCACATTTGATGAAAAGCTACACGGTGGCGGCGGTGGAGGAACCTCCCGTGCTCCCAATTGAATTCTCAAAGTATCCTTACGGGATGTATAGATACACGTTTCTGCATCGCATACCGGCATACACGTTTCTGCATAGCATACCGGCATCGCAACCCTCACCACATGCGAGTACAGCAAATAGGCCCTTACAGCGGTTGAGACAAGTACATACCGGTCCGATTCGTCTCTAGCGATGTACTCCTTGGACATTAAACCTTCAAGCGATGACTTTACGGCTTCTGGCCTCAGTCCGCAACAATTAACATGTTCACTTGTCGTTGAAGGTTTCTCAGCAGGCCTTTGCAGGATCTGCATCAGTTGTTGGTGAGTCAGTCGACGGTGCTGCTTGAAGAGCCTCACGATTTTAGCATCAAGTTTTGCCCTCTCTTCTGCATCCAGTGGGCCTCGGACCCTACGCGGAGACAGGGGCTCGGTACCTTTCGTCGTAGAGTTTCCGGCCTGTTCGATTGTCCACGCACAGCACAGCAACAATGCTGTAGAGTTTGAATGTGACATGTTAGGGAGCACTCAATTCAAACAACAATAAGAGATAAAAGCCTTTCAGTTTACTGCAAGAGGATTGACTTTGCAAGGTTGATGCGTAGTGTAAGGCGCTTTAATTTACTGCAAGAGGATTGACTATGCAAGGCAGACGCCTAATGTCAAGTTCTGCATTGAAGCAGAACGACGAAGATAAGCCGTCGCCTGATGACCTGCGCTAAGAAAAGGCAAGACCCACGCTGCAACAAGGATGGATGGGGGTCTACCTGCTAGTCTGACGAAAAAATGGGCTACGATATTCAGGGTTTGTCCAAGTGTCCGACGAAGCTTGGCTGGTGGTGAAAATTTAGACGGCTTACCAGAAGGTTTTGGGGGTCGATTTGAAGCCCTTCCAATATGACTAATGCTTCTTCTGCGGATATGCCAATCAGCTGCGCTGCTGTCTGCACTGAGATAAGGGGAATTCTGCACGAGCAAACGCAAAACCGAGAAAAGCTCGTTCCATGAGGAGTTCCTGGTAGAGCCAACGGCCTCACCTCCCGACGGTGTTTAGCATCTTTCCCCACTGGTTATTCAGGAATTTGAGTTGACACTGGCGCATCTTGTCGTCCAGGTTAGCCACGAAGTCGTACTCATTAAAAAGCAGCAATACGAATGAGGCTAGCAGGCAGACGCGGAAGTCTGCGGCTTTCAGCTCAGCACAGGTCCCAGCATGACGTTGAGTCGCATGCGGTTGTTGGCGAAGGATAACGGTCATGTCTGCGTGTCCTGCCCTCCATAACCAGAGAAGCTGCCGCTCGGGAAAGTGTGTTTTGTACATGCTGCTAAATGCCTGCACAGACAAATGAACTCGAACAAAATAGTTATGAGCCGTCAGGTACTTGGTATATGCTCATATGCGCCACAAACAAAATCAAGAAGAATTGAATCAGCGACCTGATTTGCGTCGACAGATTTATCGGTAGAGCCACTTAGACTTTAATATGCATATAATATCGAGGTAGCAAGGCTGACACAAGTCCCTGTAGCAAAAGTACTAGTAATTAAGAAGAAGGGACTTGAGGCAGTGATTAAAACTCAAGCGCGTAAAGATAGAAGAATAACCACGCCATGCGAATAGTGCTCAGTATACCACTCAGACCATGGGCCAAACCGACCTCCAAATGCGTATGCAGCTCTTTCGGAATCTTGAGCCCTCCAGTATTTACTAACTGTTTATGCAACTGACCCAAGAGTACATCGGGCCCTAATTGTTGGGTAGCGTGACGACTTGTTTCAGGGGCCCCTAAGGGGAGATACATTTCCCATGCTGTCTTCGTGAGAACTAATGCCTCAAACCTGCATGTTAGTTCATGTTTAGTTCCTGTTGAAACTGTCGGCTCGGATTGGGTCTCTGGATTCCGGTCGGAGGTAGCATGCTCATATTTCAGCTGCACTGTAGGGCGCTGCAGCTGCTGGCCGGCGCCGGTCACTGCATTTTCCACTACAGGAGACGCTTCTGCCGCGGTTGTATCGGAGGATACCACTTCTGCTCTAGGGGCTAGGGAGGTCTTTTTCTGTTGTACGTGCCTTGCATATAGAAGCATGGTTTCACTTGCTGCAGCGATGTCCGATATAACCTGCCGAACACGCCACTGCTCTTCAGGTGGAACGGGGCAGCGGGCCTCAAATGCATGTTGAATTGCCTCCCATACTCTCAACTCCAAGGCACAAACTGTTGCTGCCACATCGGAGAAGACGTCTACAGTGCCCACTGCCCGGTGGTTATATGGGGTGTCACTGTTTTCGAAGAAGGCCCTGTATGCAGCATGGTTGTCCCCTGCCGCACGGCGCGCCCGAGCTAGTCGTATATGGATCGGAATTCCTTCCAGACGGCCAGAAAGCTTGTCAGACCCAAGAGGACCTAGCCTGCCGCAAAGGCCCCAAATTGCCCACTCTGGCAAAAGCCTGCAGGCCAGCAGTCTTGCGTATGCCGAAAGGAAACGTTCTGGGAAGTGCAGCCTCGAACACAGACGAGCTACAGTCTCCTGAAGGAACGAGACAGAAATTTCTGTGCCCTGGAAATAATGCACAGGCGCGGTGACATTGGGTACTTTTGCTTCAAGTGATACAGGATGCAGTGGGCTGGATTGCTGACGGACCTCCCATATGTTTGTATCTGGTGTCTGGCCGTCATTCGCCGGCAGCGTTGCAGCTGCGGCTCGCCGTAGTTGGAGATCCATGTACGCAGCCACTGCTTCCTCTACTGTAAGCATGTTCGCGGAAGGAACTGCTGTGCAAGCTAAGCATCTCGCTATTTGCGGATTCGAGACAACGGTGTCAAACGCCTGTGTCGGACGTTCGCAAAGGGCAAAGGTACTTTCTGTTATGAGTGCTATTGCTCACCGTTCCTTCAGATTATCGAGAAACATATAGCCAGGAAGGCTATATTTCGCTACAGTCAAATACACTAGATGCTGTTTGCGTACGGTACCTGGTTTCGCGACTCAACGGCGATTGGCGCATTGTTGCAGAACACTACCAGCTGCTTTTCGGACTTCTTGAGATATTGCAGCAGCAGAAGAACTAGCATTTCTCCCCTCAGAGGACAAAAGTCGCAGTGCACTGCAGACTCTGTTGCATTCCCTTTATAGCTTGCATTTACTTGCCCTGAGACTGTTATTTGAGATGAAGACGACGTAGTTGCTCTTGTGGTGGAAGATGTCCTCCTGTCTCCGGCAAGGGAAGTAACACCATCTCCCTTGTCGTGCCTCTGCTCTTCATGAATACTTCTGCCAGTTTTTACATCTGAGCGCTCTTCAGCCTGTGGTAAGCTATTAATGGCGCCTTGTCCTTCACGACAAGCTGTGCATATGATGTCCCATTGTTTAGAGGCACATCTGAACTTGCAGCAGCAGCAGAGGAGAACGAATATAAGATATACAGAAGAACAGCATGCCCCGGAATGCGGTTGGCTCTCTGGTAGATTAGTATGGCTGTGCTGTTCTGACCAGTGGCTGGAGGTTCGTACTGGATTGAATCGGTAAGGGATGATGACCAATACAGACGCAATTGATGAGCAATGTTGTCTAGACACTCTGGCCACTCCTTGGCCCAGTGCAAAAGCAGTACCACCACTGCAGCATTGTGCACAGGAGGAACTCGACGGCAGATGGAGAAACGAAGGCAGGCGCATACATTTGCGTGAGGGTCGCTACGTATGTATTCAATATTCAGCATCTAAGTCATGCAAAGTTGACACTTGCCACTCCAGTCGTCTTCTCGTAGCAGTTGCTGCAACGTAGGGCGCAGGAACATAACTTTGCCAAAGCTTTTCCTCAGCAACACCTGCCGAGCTACCTGCACCGCAGTGTCAGCTGAAAGCAAGGCAAGGAAGGCAACGCAACAAACTCATATTTGTGAGAACTGCGGCCACCTACCAAAATACTCGATTTGGGAGGCGCCTGCATTTTTAGCTGAGATATCAAACAAAGATGGCGTCGTTTTGAGGCCTCCAAATATTCACAAAAATGCCATGCACTAAATGTATCAGCACGTGCCTACTGCGGCGCCGAAACACGTTTCAGTGAGGGAGCGTTCTGCAGCTGCAAGCGCCTCCACCGCTCGAAGAAAGGGTCGCAGTTCCACTCCCCCAGCAATCATCTTAGAAGCTGCGTTTGCATGCGCTGTAGCAACCCCCTCCAATAACTGTCTGAAAACGCAAGTGAAGGACTTGAAGCGAACTGCTCAGTGCCCATCTACACGAGCGCCTTTTTTTCGCAGTTCACGAAAATTCGGCTTTAGCCTGAGATCACCACCAGCTCCTCTTTTGAGAGCAGTACATGCGTGTTTCTGTCTTCAAATTGGCCCTATTAACTAATTAATACATGTAACGCTTTCCAAGTTTCAGCTTTTCGAACATGTAGGGCAATTCGGCTGCTCATGACTGGCGACCCATCGCTTTTGGTACCTGCGACGTACCTCCTGTGATGAAACCATGTATTTGAGCGTCCTCCCCAAGGCCCCCCCCCCACGCCGATCCACATCACATACAACAAGCGGATGCTCCTTGGGGGAGGCGGCAGAGCGCATTTGTATGAACCGGAGCAGAATGTAGCCGTCGATGCATCTGCTGTATCTTCTGGAAGGAATGTGTTTCCTGCAGTTTGAGTTGGCGAAGGGGAAGCGGCACATGCTCCGGAAGTCATGGCTGTTTTTTTCCGGCGCTGCAGTTGGACGTGCTGTGGATCATCAATCCTTCTCAACAGAATCAGGGCCTCTCGAATCCACTGGAGTTGTGTTGTTGCTGCTGGCAGCCCCGTTACTGATGCTTGCTCAGCAACCGATGGAGTTGTTTCCGCCGCATCTTGCCTCACCGTGGTAAACGATGCTCTCCGCGGCTCTCGTACAGCTACAGCTCCTGATGCGGCTTTCTGTTCACCCACGGCAGCGCTATGCAGAGTCTCTCCGAGAATGGATACCAGAGCCTTGTCTTGACCGTCACAGGCCGATGGCTGCTTCCTAGCAAGCTCAAGCTGAGGCTGCAGTTGCCTCGAATACCCAGATACCAAAGCACCGTTGGCCTCTGCAGAGAGGAGAGTTACCAGATATGCATCATCATCCTCGCCGTGGGGCAGCTGTTCATATCTCCCTTGCTGCAGCTTCCAGCGGTTCGGTTCCTCTTGTTGCTCGAGAGGGGCCCCACTTTTTGTCTCCTGCACGCTTACTTTAGGAGTATGCGCCTCTGGATTATCTGACTGCTTCAGAAGCGTTTGCTGCTGTTGCAGAGGGGGATTTCTGTTCATGGACACGGAATTATTCCCCGATATTTGAGGCCCTCCAGCCGATTCTATTACATCCCGCCGATGTCGTGCTTCACATTGCACTGAAGTATTCAATGCTACTTCAATGATCATTCGGGAGCACTCGTGCCTTAACTGGTCAATCACTCCCCACACACGAGACCTTAATACCTCCACCAGTCCACACAGTGCCTGATGTAATGCGCACAAGTCCCCCACAAAGGGTTTGCTCTCTATAGCCCCTTCACGCCCTTAGACTTACACTGCAAATAATTATTTGGTTTTTCTAGAAAATACAAGGTGTTTCCACAAGTGGACAGTGAGTCTTTTAGAAACTAGCTACGGCTCGAGGTTTTTGACAACGATACTATAACACTACTTGCTGTAGACAGCGCCAAAACGACGAAATGGAAATTCGCTGACAAAGCGTCCAAAGATGACAACAGCGGCCTCATCGATCGTAGAAACTTGGCACAGAAGCTTCGCTGCTGCACGTGCTACAGCTTCTCGCGCTTTGGCGCTCCTTATCCCAGCTGCTTGTGCTGCTGCCAGTGCCTCCCTTGATGAATTTGCTCCACGCATCTCAAACTTTGCAGGGTTGCTGAGGCACCCAGGCTGTTGCTGCGAGAGAGCCTCCGAACCCCTTGCGTAGAGATATTTGAGGAGCAACAATGCAAGTGTGTACGATTTCCACGCTTTCACGCACTGAACCACAAAGTCCCTGGCTGTCAGCGGTCCAATGCTAGCTTTTCCTTCTAATTGTGAGTGAAGCCCATAGCGGAGACGATCGGAAACAGCGCTTCGAATCAATAGACAACAGAAAAAAAGGAAGTGCCATCGCGCCGCGGTTGGTGACTGCAGCAGTGCATGCAAACCTGAACCACACATTCATCAGGTATTCTATCATCAAGCAGCAAATGGAACTGTAACGGCTTTTACCCGGGCTCTTTGCGCCGCAGAAGTGAGCCTGCTTGATTCAACTGTTCCATTTACCGCTTAGCGCTCTGAACAATGCTTCCGTTAGGTGCAATCAATGGTGACACACCAGATGCGGCCTGAGACAGTGTAGCTATTTGTTTTTGCGACAGATAAGCAGCACCGCTGAAGACCCGCAGGGATGAGATGCTTCCGTTGGCGTCACTAAGCCAAACACTGGGTTCCTCTGAAGCGTCAGAGAATCCCAGTATGCCTGTTGGGCGGGTATTACTTGACGGTGTCCAGTCTAGCTGAGGCCCGGCAGAGACCTCGAAAAGGGGCTCAAGGAGAGCAGAACGGGCTTTACTTAGTAAATTTAATAGCTCTTTGCCCTCTTCTTCCTCGTCGATCCATATCCTCTCCAGTGCTGGCATGGTACTGCCCCCCAACATCCAAGATGAGGGGCTTTGAGAAAGTCCAGAGTTGGTGCGTAGAGCACAAGTTGACCCCTCGGGATCTATTGGCTCCCTCGGGGAAGATGAACTTCTTGTGCAGCCACAGGGCCCACGTGAGCCGGCAGCTCTTCGTCGTTGTCTGGTCGACGCCCTGGCTGTTTGTCCCTCGTGGCACAAATTGGTGGAAGCCACCTGCCTCGACTGAACGTCTTCCGTGAGCCCTTCTTGTGTGTTAGGTTCACTAGGTACTGGGTTGCTTGCGGTTTCGCAGGCTCCTGACGCAGTGTCCGGCGAGTGACGCTGGCGCAACTGCAGGTGCCGACGAACGGAGCGTCGTTGGGTACTTGTGCGCTGCTCATACCGCCGCAGCTGGTCATTCTGTCCTCGGCGCTGAGGGTGATCTTGCCCTGTTGTCGCTAGACGCCTAGTGCGAACCCCTGGCAACAGCGCAGGTGGCGCTGTCTGGAGATCAGGAGCTTGCTGTTGTGTTAGCGGCATAACTTCCCGTGGTGAGAGGCCATCGGACCTCCTCCGCTGTCGTTTAGTTCCGCGCCTTCCCCCGACAGACTCTTGATTAGAAGTCGGCGACATCTCGCTCATGGCTGCCTGCAAATTTTAGGGCGTTAACTTCAGACACGGCTGTCGTTAATCTCTGTGCAGGATATGCCGTGTAAGCCAAGCCAAATGCTTTAATGCTCGGCATTAGGAGGCCAGTTAGTCGTTAGTGAAGGGGCCCCATTCTAGGGGGTATTGCGTTTGGCTTCGTTAAATCGGCGGCTTCCACTGGGGTGCCTCTCAATAGGTTTAGGTGCAGCGGTGACCCTCAAGGATAACCTTAAATGGTAGATTCACACGTACTGTGGATGCTTTTCAGTACTCTGCTCGTTTGTTGTTGACACATTGACTCCCTGGCTAATCCAGGAGGTTGCAGCCCTTTGCATGATTCTGTACAGTGAAGACCTCATCTAGAATCGCTAGAACAAGCGACTTCTACACACAGGCGCAAGTATTTTCTCACTGTTAAGGCCATTTATGCCAAAGAAATAATACCGCGGACGCGGTGCTGCATTCTGAGGCTCGCTGCTAGGCCATCTGGCTGAATTCGGTGCTGCAGCTGTGGGAAGTTGTCTTTCGCGCAGTGAACGGCCATCCAGGTCAGGTACAACAAGTAAAGTAGGAAAGCTAGTAACTAACTCATTGCCTGACTCGCAGAATTAGGTAAAAATTTCTGCATAGAGGGATGAATTTGAGCTTAAGCTGCAGCCCGTGCCCACTGGAGCTGGCGCAGTAGTGACCCCGCCTCACACATGCGTTAGCAGTCCCAACCGTCCATTAGCATAATTCTGTGGGAAATATATAGGAGTCGGTTACACCTAGTTGCAAGATCTTCTGTGTTTTCTCGAACTGGCATATCATTCCTTCTGTTGGGGTCGCATTTGGATCCACCCACGATTGCCATACGGAGTAGTTGGATGTAGTTCGAAAGTCCATACAGCCTGCATGCTTGATCGCAATATTCGTATGGAGCGCCTCAAATTCTATGTAAAGCCACAAAATATACTTAATGGAGTGCATTGGTACTCCCCCGATATCGACGCAGTGGCTGTTCTGCGGATCTTCCGTAACCATGGCAGTGTTTTGCACTTGCCATCGTTACTATCCTGGGCCGTGTTTAACACGGCACAGTATAGGAAGGACATCGCCTGCGTTTTCTGTAACGCGCTGCTTCTGCACATATAGCCGATTTTCCCCACAACTAAGTTGGCTTGAGGATGAAGCCACTAGCAAACGTGGGAACCCGTATGGGGTGTGGGCTTTGCCGCCTCTAGCCTACTGGAGATCGAGGGGTAGTCAGCAACCATTATTTCTTGTGGGTGCTTGCATGCTGCAAAGGTAAGAAATACGAGTCTGTACGTGGAGTGATGCTGCTTTGCCCGCTTAACTGGTAGTCTACAGCTCTGCAACGCCTGAAGCAACATATCGGGCATGCTGAAGCTGCACCATAGCAACCGATGATGGTGTGCTAAGATCTCTTGTAAGACCACCCGACAGCAGTTGAAGTCTGATGAACAGATGTTCTGGATGTGCAACCCCAACGCTGCATAAGTACACCTGCTGTATGTTGATGGACCAGGGACACAAGCAGCTGGTGAGACCCACTCAGGCGTTTCTCTACAAACCATGATAACAGTCCGTTTTATCGGAATCAAATAAGACTGATTCAGCTGACGTGAATAAGCTACGTCGAAAGAAGTACGGGCCCACCGTGAAACACGCACAATGGGGTCATCTCGACTCCCTGCTGGCGGCCATACATCGACTAGGCGACGAACAAGCAATAACATAGATAGTAGCAGGGGAAACACGCATTGGTTAAGGTTTACTGCCGCAAATGAACGCCTCCCGATAAGGGTTTTGCCTGGAGGGAATACGCGCAGCTGCTTCTCTGCAATTCAGTGTATAGCACCGTTGGCTCTTGGCGTCAAGCACGCGCCTGCTGCGAGGTTGAGCCTCGTTGCCCGTTGCGATGCGATTACTGAGTTGTAGGCATCAGCGTTGTTCGGCGAATATCGATGCCACATGGAAAAGGGAAACCATTAGCCGCCAATATTCGTTTTGCAGCAACTGGTGGTGTCACGAGGTTAAGCCTGATACTGCATCGCCTAATGCACGACAGGAAAACTCGCAAGCCCTTTATAATCAGCCTCTAAAGAAACAGTTTAAATGCTTGGAATAACCGCCCTCGCAATACGGCGCGAGCACGTGAATACAGCAATATGGTGGCGACGCTATAGTGGGGGCGGCCCTCATGAACAATACGGGACATGGCTCTGAACCACTTAAATCATGTGATTTGTTTGTTTGCGGTGCCCTGATAAGGTAAAGCTGAAGGCCTGATCGGCGCTGCTGACGGGTATTCTGCAGCGGCAAAGTAAGCCAAACGCTGTGCAGTACGTGTTTACCGTAAAGCCTCAATAGTTCGCGAACTGTGCGTTCTTAGACAATAAATCCTTGAAGCGCAGCGAAAGATGCATGAAACCATGCCACCTTGAGGATCATGGAGTGGCCCCTGAGGTCCAAGAAGTGAGGTACGCACACCCCATTCGTCACTGGCGGGGTATGTGACTGGCAACTCGTGACGCGCAGCAAATGCGCTTGATTAGTACTTTCTGCGCTAAGGAGTTCCAAGTTCCGTAACTCTTGACGAATACCGTTGAGTGACCAAGGTGGCCCTATCCACGAAACTGACTGTTACAATGCCACCTACGAGAAAAGAATTCCAAATATGTCTCCCAGGGCTAACCAGAACAGGGTTGAACAGGTAGCTTTTGCAGTGAGCGAGCTAGAGCTCCCGTACAACTCAGCACAGAGGGCGTGCTAATGCACAACCTCGACAGAGACAAGAATTCCTTTTCCAGTGGACAGTAACAATGCTCGAGATTGTATGGCTCTACTACCTGCCTCAGCTGCTTGGCTTTTCAACGCCTGTTTTCCGTGTGGCGTTTGCTCTACTGTCTTCCCTGACTTCAAAGGCTTCGCTGCTATGCGCGTAAATGTCAGATTGTGAGGCACACGGGCTAAAGTCTACGTCTCTCTAGTTTGGTGCCTCTCCTCTAAAGCGAGTAGCGACCAGCAAATGTTTCGGTAATCCCTTCGGGAAATTTCAAATTCGATGCATAATTGGCAGTTTGAGCTCGATGACCAGTTGGCATCTTAATCCTGAAGTGCAAGAAGTGCAGCTACCCCAGCTTTTATGGGCACGTCAGGGGGGTCAAAGCAAGGAAGCTCCATGCTAGTGATGTAGTTCGTCGAATGGCCTGTTGTGGAAAGTGTCCCCTTGCGACTAGGCACTTTATATAAGGGACACATGTAAACTGTTCTCGATTCGTGCACGCGATCCCTTTGGGGTAGGAACCACACAACTGGGAGCTCATCAAATAGCACTTTCGGGCGAGAAGGAGCCTGCAAAGAGAAATGAGTACCTGAGGGAGCCTCTCAGCTGTTGTCTCGCTAAAACCGTAGTGCTCCGTGCGATCTCAAGACAACCCTGCTTGCCTTTGACTAAATAGTGGCTGCGATGATCCTCAGGACGGCACAGCCCATTTGCGTGCTACTTACCAGCGTTCCTCTGTCTGCGTCCCATCGACAACCTTCCAAGAAAATGCCGTGTACAAAGCAGCCGTCCTCTGGAGCTTCTCCTACCGAAGATCCGTCCGTCACCTTTAGAACAGTATATGCGAACGAAAGCCTATCGACGGCAACGCGGTATTTCCGTGCATAGTTTTGGAGCACGCCTGTTAGAAATGCCTGCGCGTAGCAAGCAACCTTTTCACTGGATTTTCAACTCGAAGTCGGCTCTCTGCTGACCTTTGGCAACCCCACGATGTAGCTCCGAAGTTTCATACCTGGGGGAAGAAGAATCCTGACATCCAGTAGCATTTGGGTGGCCCTTGTTCAATCCAACCGTTAAGGAACGCAAGTCTGGCCGTTAGGTCCTTCAGCCATGAGCCTAAAGGCTTCATTGAGACAAAACCTCTATCCGACCACACCTTTGGAACCTGCATAACTCCCACATATGACACTGAATTGACTGGCTGAAGCCTAGTCAACGGATAGAATGACTAAATATTCCCGCTGAAACCTGGTCACCAACCGCGACGTCCTTGGCGGGCGAAACTCGTGCATTTGAAACAGTGTAGTGGCGCCTCAGTACTTGGTTATCGAAGAGAGCGGCCGATATCTTCTCCAGTTCCTCCGTCATCACTATTCTGCCCTTGATCGCAAGCTGGAGGTCCTTCATTGTTTTATTCATAATTGCTAACAGCCCATTGTACCTGAAGGCAAGACATTATTCACCCCGCTGAACATCAAAATGGAGGCCGCCCTCCTTTCTCATTTATTTCCGCGTATGTACGCAATGGGTTGCTATTAGTGGCACAGCTGTGGGCGGATCTGATAGACACGTAGGTTACATGCTTGGTGGGGGGTGAAAAATCCCGTTTACTGTGCGGGAGGACACTCACCTAATGGCCTCTTGCACCACCACTGTATTCATGGATTCGTCGTAGCGGGTAGGATATTTTTGTTGAATTGCTTCGACGTCGAATAAAGCAGGAAGAAGGGATTGCACATGAGCAGCAAGATCGGAAATGGCAGACTCGCGGCACGTCGAACCAGCCGAACTGCTTCGTGGTGCCATCGACAATATGCCGTCAAGCAGCTCCTGAGTGCATTGCCAGTACAGTTCACCACGAACATCGGAAAGGCAAATATCACAAACCAAAGGATTATAATTCATAAATTTTGACCATCGTTGTTGAGCACTCTCCGCCTGTTTGGGCCACTGACATACCTTCCCCTCCATTTGGGCACAGTTGATATTCGCATTCTCATGGAGACCAAAAACTTCTGGCTGGGCATTTGCTGGCAATGAGGCAATATATTTCTGAAACCCCTCGACGTCTTCTTCATCAGGGCAGTAGTAGATTCCCGACTTTGAAAATTTGTAGGCTGCGCCCTGAGCGAGGAAACCCAGTAAACCGGAGGGTGACAAACTTTCACTTGCAATCGGGTGAAAGCAAAAGATATGTTTAAGCAGTGAGCATGTCTAACCTCTTCAATAAGCCTTTCGTTTACGTAGGTGTGGAGAATGAAGTCAATGAGCCTCTTGTCGTTCGCATCAGTGACACGCCCACCATAGTTTATTCGGGCCCCGAGAAAACGAAGAACCTGAAGAGACGCGGCACGGGCAAAACTTCATGTTTTATTTCGGATAATGTCTCCAAACTTCGATCTGCTATCGCGATGCAGCTAGAACGATGTGTTTGATGGTTGTCGGAACAGGCAGGCCACCATCATACCTTGAAAGGGATTCTGTCGCTTGCATCCAAAAAAATTCTTAGTTGCCTTTGACATACGATAAGGTCATCTTGAGTAAATTCGTAATGGATGTTCCACCCGATGGGTCCGAAACGCCGGCGTTCCTAGTTTGCACAAAATCAGCCAACCTACCATAGTTTGCCTCATTGGGAAATAGCAAGTCACCCGGTCGCAAGGAAGCGTTAGAAGGCAAGCCTAATCAAGTTTCCACTAAAGTCGTGCATTAGCAGTTTCCAATAAAGTCATGCACTGGCAGCATCAACTTAATGCTTGAGCATACCTACCTGCACCACCGCATGGAAGAAGCAAAATGCAAAAAATAGCCTTTTGAAATGGGAAGGATGTTGTGTCGCGTTGAGTTGTCGATTGTCTATGCCGGCGTAAAGGCGCTGCAAGTTTGCCTTGAGCCCTTTGGGGGGTTCATTAGTCATTTTCACTCCGTTCTGTAGAACGGAAACTGGGAAGGATGGCGATGGCATGGAGGTTAGCCATAGCCTAGCACAAGCGCAAGGATAACCAGCAATCGGTTTCGTTCTGGGAAACTTTATCAAAATTTGGAGAGAGTCCGTGATCGGAAGTTACTGCGCCAGCAACAGCCTAAGGAAATTTACTATTATCGCGTTAGCATGGCCGACCTAAAATCACGATGTACTTCTTCGGGGTTCCACTGCTCGCATATGCGTTCAAGCTCATTCATCCACGAAGAAGCAAGATGGCAGTTTTGCAAAAGTACCCATCCACCCCTACTGCACCCTTCTTCAATCAGCTTCGCTGCTTTGGGCCCCTGGCCTTGTCCTGAAGGCAGAGGAGGCACAGCCGCGTTGACGCTCAAAGGGCAAAAGTAACTCCAGAGAGCAGTAATTGGACGCTTATTCCGAAAGCGGCATGTCACGTGACACGTGCCAAGCATAGCCTGAAGACGCGTGGACGTGCCATTCAGCGGTACCGTACGCGCCTAGAAGCAGTTTATTTTTACCTAATGAGATTGAATCAAATCGCCTGCTCATCTTCATCTCCTTTGCGAAGCTGTGGAGCTCAGATACGGGATCGGAGCCTTGCGACAGAATGAAAATTAACGGCGTTTGCGAGGTGGAGTCTTTATAACACTGCGCCAAGTCAAATGGCGGGGGGTCCAAAAAACGAACTCCTAGCTCCGACGCCACGTAGCTGCTTGCAGCAGCGGTTAAGGAGTCCATCCGGATAATCCGAAGGATGCACATTTTCTGAAAAAGCAGCAAGAGCGCGCACCCGGAAACTAGGGGTATTGATTTAAAGATGGGGGAATTATGATGGGGGAATTAGTGAACAAAAAACAACGCTAACTGTTTCCTGCATACGTTCGCATTTGGAAGCATACCTGGATCGAGTTAAGACTCTGCCACCGCCCAGGCAATGGTTCTTGATCGGCTTGAAGTGAGTCGAAGACGCGTCGAAAACCTTCTTCTTCTTGTCGAAGCGATTCATCCAGCCCGTTGAAAGCTTGGAGATGCGAAAGCTCGCATATTGCCTGCCACTGCTTCTCCGTGAGCCAGGATATGGGATTTTGCTTGTTCCCGGATGTAGCTACAGTTCCCGTCAGGAGAAAACGTAGTTCTGCAGGTTCTACCGGGGTTTTTGCTTGCACCTGTACAACCAAACGCTCTTTGGAGAGATGGGACGCATTTCCCTTTTTCAACAAGCACAAAACCAACAATAATCTCCAAAGGTTTGCCTCTACACAACAGATGCTATAGTTGTGGAGCTGCGGTAGCTACTAGTTACTATAAACATCTGTCTCATGAATAATACTGTAGGAAGCGGGCCTTACTCGCAAGCTGAGAGCGAAAGCAAAGAGAAGTTTGTGCCGTACAAAGAGAGATCTGGACACGTTTTGATACACTAAGTAGGAGAGGTGATCCACGAGCAACTGAGTACGCTGTTCGATATTTGGAGTTGTGGGGGCCTTAGAAAAATGCATACACAACAAAGCTGCTACTCGTCCCTACTTTCCGCACTGTGCGTTTAAATAGTTGCTGGATTGTCTAGCACGGCATGGAAGCCAGTGTAGCCAGACTGGGCCAGCGAAGGCAAGCTTTACACTTCAAGGAGACTACAGCTGCCTGGAGTGAGACTTGCAGGGAAATCACAATACATTGCCAAGTCGTGCATTCTCAGATGAATCCTTACTTCGCTGATGCCAATTGAGACCAAGTTTTGAAACCATTGTTGCGAATACTGATACATAGGCTCGATGCATGCCAGTTCAACCAGGCAGAAAAAGAGTTGGCTGCAGCGGGCTGCTACTTTCCTATAGCACTGCCTGAACAGCCAAATACGGCAGGGACCACTGTTTGTCTTATGCCAATACTCACTAACGTCCTCGGGAAGGAAACGGAACTGAGTAGCATACCGAGCTTCGTCAATCTCGCGCTCAGTCACTTCCGCCTCCTGGACCTTTTCCTGGATTTCTTCAGACGTCTGCTTGGATGCTGCTAGAGTATTCAGCAAGACTTCATCATCCAGGATGTTCCCTTGCGACTGTGACATAACCTGGAGGATTTTGTCCTGAAGATCTTGTAGCTCGCGGCGCATATCGGCATTGCTCTGCGCCAATGCAGCTTTTCGCTCTTCCAGCTGTGGTGCTTCTTTTGTCACTACAAGACCAAGCATTTGGTCTTCCAAGCCTGAAGCAGACATCAGTATATACCACCTTGAAAATGCTTCCAAAAGCTCGGAGTTTCGAAGCACTCATGCACTACCTGCGGTCCATAAATATATCGCTGCGGTCTCCCCCGAAGCCTGATGTGCAAAGCGCTGTCCAACTCAGTGCTGGGCCACCTTCTGGGGTGATTGCAAAGTTAATGACCGTAGTTTTGACAAAAATATCAACGGATAGCTTTGGATTTGGTAGTTTTGTTGTCAGGAAAAGCTTGAATGAAGGTCCCCATGGAACGGATTTTTCTCCCAGCCTAATGGTGTAGCCTTCAACAAGCAACAAACACTCATCGGAAGCCTCATATACAAAAACTCAAAATAGGCAATATGCGCTGCCTGGCTCCCGATATCCTCAGCCGGAGTGCATTAATATTTCACCTGAGCCACTCTTCGTCTTTTGCTGCAGAAGAATTGGGTCGAGTCCTGGATCTAAAGTTTCTGAAACGTTTTCAATGAGAACCCATTTCCCAAGTTGAATGGAAAGTTCAATTTCCCTCATGAAAGTAGTATCGGACAGCTTCAATACTTCAAAGCCAGTTTCACTGGCCTTGCCATTTCTCTTAATAAAACGGTTTGCCTGACCCTGTGGAGAACGGACACACTTCCGGCGCCGCCTCCCTATCAGCTTGATGCCAATACATGTGCGGTGAATGTAATTTAAAGACCGTTGTGCATTCGAACATACTGCGCGCAGCGCCTTGGCACGGACACCCACCCACCTGTGGGTCAATCATGAAGGGCCAGCGCCTCGCGCGGTCCATGATTATGCCATTTTGAATAGATAGCTCATCATTTGGCAGCCCCCACAGGGTCCACTGTCTAATAGTTACAGGGTCTCCTGCACCGCATACGCCCAAGAGAAAATAGTTCAAGTTTGGCCGTAGCCTCTCAGCGGCGGAACAATCCTTGCACTTTTACACAGGGGCATACCGAGAAATTGCTTGAGTCCACAAGATGGCTGGAAGGGCAGCTGGTGTAGGCGGAGCAGTTCCGACCACTGCGTCTCCAGCTCTCCACGATATGCTGCTGTAAACGGTCCAGCATAGGTCAGCATCCCTGCGCTGATGAGAGCATGGCCTGCGCAGACAACACAGAAGGAGAAGAGACGTTTTCCTTGCCACTGCATCCATGCCGTTCGAACCACCTGTGTGAAGGCGTCGCGTTACTAACCTGATACATAACTGCGGAGCTCCTTTGATAGGCATGCCTGCTCCCCCCAGCGGTGCTTTTCGTCTGCCAGCCCTACCAGAAGGGGCTCAGCCCTCTGTATTTTCCTCTGGCAGCTTTGAATCTCCTTAGTAAGTTGTTCCTGTACAGCCACAGACCAGCAGCCTCTCGTTAAAGCATATTATTGAAATTCTTCCCACGATTTTGAGAGGGAGCGTGCAAACATGCCCTACAAACACCTGCCCGTTATACTTCCACTGTTTCTCCCTAGAGAAATCCGTGCAGTTGGTCGCATTGTAGGAATATTTTGCGTCAAAAAGTAGAGCATGTACTGTAGCCACCTGCCGACGTAGCAAATTGATTTGTGGCTCGTCGAAAGCCTATCTATTCTACGTGGAGCGCATTGTTTTGGAAAAGCGGTTACTGCTGTACCGCTTTCAAAGTTGTCAAGTTCACCTTTTTTTCGACAGCAAGGGCAAAATCAGCAGCGAGGCGCTCTATTTTATCCTCCACCTCTCTGAGCCTGGCCTTAGTCTTGTTGAGATTTTCCGTGGTTGCCAGCAACTCTGCTTCTGCTTGTTGCAGCTTCGCCCGCTTCGGCTCGACAGTCTTTGCAACATGGTAGTATTTAAACATTGCTCGGACCCACATGCAAATGGCCTCGCAAGCAACGGATGCCTTGCGGATGGCCGTCGGGTCAAAGTCGGTTCTTTCAATATAGGGGCTGATCGTTGCTATTATGGATTCCGGGATATTGTCCTGATCAGCATGAGGTCAACGCCACTGAGAATGTTATGTCTGCTCTTAATACGGTGGTAGAAAGTGATGGAATGACACTAGAAAGGGATGGCCTTTGTTCTGCTTCATAACTCCAGCTTGAATGGTAGGGACGACGCTTCTCAGAGTTCTAGTCGCTAGAGATATTCCTGCAGCTTCAAATAACTAAGTTTGACAGTTGATACTACTGACCTTGTCATATTTTAAGAGATCTTCCAGGAGTTTTTTGGGGTCCTTCAGGAGTTTATGCTGGGCAGATTCCCAGTAGTCTTCAATCTTTAGGCCAGGCCTCGTAGGGTCAGGTTTCTTTACTGGAGGCACCTGGAAACAAAAAAATGGGGCATACCTCGTGGCCTGCGCGCGCTGCGTGTCTACAGAATGTGCATTGCCATCAAACGCGGCAACGAGAAATTCTTCGCTTACCCCAAACATGATGCACACCGCTTCCATAGTAAGAATAACGCCTGATGGAGGTTTCGACAAAGCCTTAACTTCTCGTATGTGGTCTGACTTTAACTTTTTAACGCATTCCACAGCCTCTTCGAGTGCCGGAAGGGCTTCGTCTAAATCCCGTTGCGCATCATCCTTAAGAGCTTGAGTTTCTGTTGCCTTTTTCGATGCAGCCGCCTCATCCCGGGCTACGATTTTTTTTGTTTCGTCTGCAACTGCATGATCTTGCTGAATCTGAATCATGGTCTTTTCCACCTGCGAGAGCACGCATCACAATAGTGCCCTCTACGCTCGAAAGCGAAGTGTAAATGCCTGGAAATACCGTCTTCCGTGAGTCTTTGTCTACGACCCATTTTATTTTCTGCATACAATTTGTTTAGCCACGACTGCCTCAGCAGGCCACAGCTATCAATGCAGAACAGCTTTTCAGGAGTAGCGCTCGAAGCGTTCCCCCAGTAACTCTATTGTATGTTTCCTTGCTGGTTCACCTCTTCTGAGGTAGCTTGGAGGACAGGTTGGAGGTCTTGGAGTTGAGCTTGCATCTCTGCGACCTGATTGGCTGTTTCTTCGAGCTTTCTGAGTCCTTTCTCAAATCTCTCTTGAACAGTCACTAATTCGACTTGTTTAGTGCTAACAAGGTGAAAAAATGCTGAAAGCAATTCTAAGAAAGTCGTCGGTGTTGCATGCATGGCCCGACCAAGCACTTCCCTGTAACGTGCTGCTATATTTTGGACGCCTCGATGCATAGCTTGCAGAACTTCAAGAACCTGGTCTTGGGATTCCAGAAGTACCTCACACTTCTCCATTTGCATGCGCGCCACAGATACTAACGCTTCTGCTGGCCACTAAATCGGAAAAGCAATCCAGGCAGAGTTACAGGACAAGCATTAACTCACCGGCTGCTTTCCCTCAAACTGGTCAAGTAATTGCCTTCGCTTCCGCTTCGGGGGCAAGCTTTCCCTCCAACATAGTAACCAATGCGCCCAGACGTGCGCTTCCCTACCTCAGAAAACCAGTTGATAGTGCAGCAGTTGGTCAGAGAAGGGAACATCCTGAGCCAAGTGCGAAAGTGGATTCCCAAAGGGCTCATCGCCAGGATAATATGCAGGTTTGCCTTGACCTTCTTGACATACGCATTAAAAACGTTTCCCTTCGTTGGGGACACGCCAAGTTGCTTACAATATACCCTGAAGACAAATGCGCATGAAGCAGCACACTTCATCACATCCAGAAACAGCAATACCTTTAACGATTGTACCCAAAGAAGCCGCTCACCGACAAACTTTCATTATTTCCTCCATGTCTTCTTTTTTGTATATATTGGGAGCATCCCCATAATTTAAAGCACTGTTTATGTCTTCTAACATGGATTCCCCCAAAATTTGAGAGTCACAAAACAGGAACGTCTGCGGCTTGTCCTCCAACCCAGATTTCATAAAGCACTTTTTGAGATCCTCCCTCCATTCCACCATACCATAGCCTATGAATGCAAGCGGTAAATACAAACATCAAATCAAACACGAATAGCATGCATATGAAGTGTGCAGTGTTGGCGGTTCGCCAAAAGATCGCATGCAAACTACGGAGTTGTCACGCAGAGGTTCTTTTGAAGGACCTTTGGTGGCGTCTATCTGAAAGCACTCCGTCTCCATGATAAAAGCTGCAAGGCGGCTGAGAGACTGGCGTCCTGAGCCTCGTACTCCTAGAAGAAGCGCATGCCCAGACGGCTGCCGAAGTACGCGGCAGATTCGCGCCACGTGGGCACACGCATCGCTGAACATCACGAGCTGCATTGGAACTGCGAAAGTATTGTTGTAGTCTTGCATGTAATCCTCGACGACTTGCTTAAGCTTTTCAGCAGAGGAAACCTCCTATGTCATGAAAGCCCACGCACACACAAGGGAGCTTCACCCACAAACAGTATTTTTTGTAATCCAGCATTGCTGGCCCCACTCCGAAAGTTGAGTACGTTGGGTTGAGCTACGGACACGACTGCGTCGCTTTGCTAGCTTCTTTTACGTGCAGAAAAAACCTGCTCTCACCAAGTAGTACCTATTTGACGCCTGCTGAACAAAGTCAGCAAAAATCATGGACGACATCTCCTTTACGTCGGCGAATTCGACATCAAAAGTTCGTTTGGCCTGCCGTTGAAGGAGGTCGTAGAACCATTTCCTGTCATCGTCGTCAACGAGGCGATCGCAGAAGACGCGGCACGTTTCATGGATCCAGCATCTGATGACCTGAATATGCAAGATCGTTTGGGTTGGAACCTTCAGCAAGTCGGCATTTGCCATTTCTATGAGCTCCACAGATCTTGCACTTACAGCATGCATCCCACCTCCAAAGTGAAACTGTGTCAAGCCGTAAACTGTGGGCTTAATTTGCGAAGTGAGCTGTGTAATCAAGAACCTGGAGAATTGCGCTTAAAGGAGAAACAAACCATGTTCAGCATTAAACTGCGGGCACAGTCTGCTAAGCGTCAACATGCCAATCAAAACGTTTTTTCTCATACAATGTACTACAAAGTAGACCGTGAGAATATTCGGGCAAATCGAATTGCTCGCTAAGCTAATTATTTGATTCAAAGGTGAGTTCGCGTTGTCCTTGAGAAAAATGGTTAACTGCTGCTCACAGCGGCCGGTTCCTTCACTACTTTTGGAGAAAGAAATGCAAGCCCTTGAAACACCTTCCAAACTTCACGCATGTTAAATGTATAATGAGATTTCATTGGAGTTGGAAGCAAGGTCTTCGTGACTTCTGCATAGAGATCAATGGTGGCTAATACCAGAGGATCAGTGAGGGCCTGAACCGCAGCCACATGCAAGTAGTTTCATACAATATATACGAATAATTAACCACTAGCGGGTCCTAGAATGGGCGTAAAACCCCGCTTGCGGGAGCACTAGTAGCTTTGGTAGCCTCCTGCACATATCTATTATGCAGCCTAGCTCCTGCAGTTTCGCGAGCAGTCGAACAACTAAGAAGGAACAGGCGGCAAGCGCATGTTACTCCATATACGTGGATCATGTGGAGGGTTACCTGAATGTCTGGGGGAAACTGCTGGAAGCAATGCCTATTGAGTGTTTGGAAGATGGTTGCGATTGAAGCCCGCTGGAGCTCATCGAATGCTAAGACACAGTAGTGCCTCAACAGGCGCGCGGATATTTCGTTTCGCCCGCCTCCTGGTGGGCCCATAGCAGCCACCATACCCACGTCCACAACTTCCTGAAATGTCAACCCTTTACGATCATACCAGCCCTTGTGGTCAAACCTGAAGGACGCGCAGTGCGGCGGGATGGTTGCTCACATACGACGGCGGCGAAACCCTAGAGCGTCTTCTCAGACACTCTTTTCGGAAGACGCATTGCTTACCACTGCCGGAGGAGTTCTAACGGAGGTTGGGCCCCAAATTCCTCCTTTCGTGGCATATTTAGGTCGTCAATGAAGAAGATACATGTTTTGCCAGCAGGTGGGCCAAAAACTCCTCTGCGTCTCTTTTCCAGCTTTGCTTCCAGCAGATCCTACGGCATGCAGGCCAGGCAGCTAACGACAGCGTCACACCGGGGCTTTGTATGATCCTATGAGGCAAAAACGCCTGGTGTCGGTAGTCTACGTCTGATATGCATTGTCACCTAATGTTTTGGGGTGCTTCCAGCAAACTATACACGTACCTGCACCTGGTTTACCCTAGTATGGGCAGAGAATGTCATGAGATGCGTTTCATAGTTTTCCGGCAGCGTCAACAGGAGTAGATCAGTTAGATTGACTGTTTTCCCCGTCCCCGTGGGGCCTGGGCAAATTACACTGTGGCCATTGAGTAATAACGTAGTTATTGAGTGGGCCAAGCGGATTGAATCTAGGGTTGGAACGACTATATTCTCGTACGATGCGCCTTTCGGGACAACAAATGATGGGACTGTATTCCCCCAAGGGGTCCATTGGTGGTTGTTGATGTCATAGCAAAAATCATAAAGGCTGCAACCAGCATCTAAGTGCCCAATATCAAGCCCGAGCTCCTGTACGCGGCTTTGAAGCCAATCGTCTATTTTCTTCCTGCCGGAACCTGATGGAAAGAAAGCGAAAGCAACCTCGTTGTTGTTGATCAATCAGCGTTGTGCCCAGTTTAGTCAACTAGCACTATAAAAACCGGAGTAATGCTTACCATCTGCGGTAATGCCAAATGACCAGATGAAGCTAAAAATAAATGCAGCCGGGAGGCGCCCATACAAGGCATCGCCTTGCTCAGCGTCAGCTGGCTTGTCTACCGGACGATAGCGAGAACAGATGGAGCCGAGCATCCGAAGACACGAGACGCACAGATTGGAGTTTACTGTTGAGACGACCTCCTTGCACTGTTTTCTAAGAACTGCAATACCTCCTGGAAAGATGTCACTGGCAAGTTTCTCAATGAGCGCCTTGTGAGCATCTTTAAACGTTGGAGGGAGTGCCTTCAACCAAGAAACGACTAACGGCGAAAACCCCAGGACTTCTGGCTCCATGTACACCATTCCACAACGGCTGACAGTCGCTGGAGAGGCTACGGATAAGTCTTCGACCTACAGGCACACAGGAGAGATGCGCTACGCCTGTAAATTACGTAAGGGAACGGCTTACTCTGTGGAGCAGTGCAGAAGCTGCTGGTAAGTGGTTATGCGGTTGGTATTCTGGAGTGCCGTATATTTTGTAGACCCCAACCCATAGTTCGTTGCTAACCTCAAACATCATAACCGTTCTGTTAGTGAGGGAAATTATTTCTCCTGAGTTCAAGCAGAGTTTCTTGTTGTCGTCCAGAACAGAGTTCATGCTCTCAATCCACAAAGCATCTACCGGACCGTCAAACATGATCCAATGCTGATCGGAAGAAGTGTCGCGGATAGCATGACGGATCAGTGCCGCAGCTAGACCATCTGTCCATTCGTGGGTTGTTTCGTTAAAACATCCGTATAGTTGCCCAATGGTCACAGACTTGGGATTCAGCACGTTTACATGGACCTACACCCAACAATTTGCAGCGAAAATGGATGTCTCTTCGCCAGACGCTGAAGATATGGTTCCGGCAGTTTCCGGTTAGTCGCTCCCAGGTAGGAACAGGGAATCTTTTCTCACCTTTGCAAATCCTTGGACTTTATACAGTTCGCTCATGGCGGCAGCTAGCAGGCGGTAGCTGCTTGTTTTGCCTCCTCCTGTTGGGCCCACCAGCATGAGGCCATGGCGGACTTGAACGGTGTCGTACAGCTGCATCACCTTCCTCATAAAAGGTTCAACTGGCTGTAGCTTTAACACCTCTGCCTGGCGTAGCAGTGCTTCTTGAAGAACTTGGTTGTCCGCACGGGGTACCTCAACACCGGGAAATAGATCCGCTATGATATTTTCAAACAGCGGGAGGTCATGAGACAGAAACTTTGGGACGTTTACATCTCTTAAGGCCTGCAACAGAATCATTTGCTCATCCATGGTGCAGTGCTTCCTTTTCAGAACCCCTGCAGCATTGATGACTGATCGAACTGCCCTCATGCCATAGTCGTAATGATCCTGCGAGGATAATTGTTCTGACGACAGCTTGAATGTTGCCACCATCTTTGTTGCTAGTTCTCTGGCTTGGTCGAATCCAAAGCTGTACAACATGATTTCTGCGATCATCGAGTAATCGGGCACCTGAGCGTACACGTATCTGTCGAGGAAGCGAGTAGTTCGACAGATTTCACGAGAAGCAGAGGTCAGCAAAAGTCAGGTGGCCCCAACAATCAATCTCTGCTGGCACAAACATGGACTTTTATATATATGTTGATTAGATATGGCGTGTGGTTGGGTCACCATCATGGCCATAGGCCTGAAAAGACACTTGAGATTGTCTGGCAGTTCCGTCCTGCCGGCGTAACCAGGGTTCATGGTAATAAACACGTTAAATGTTGGCTCCACGACGATGCGCGAATCTTCAAAATCGATCTCTAGGGTCATCCCGTAGCCCTGAAGCTGAGCTTTTGCCCCAAAAAGCACGACAAGCTGCTGCGCTATGACGGATAAGACCTGCAAAGGAAAATTGAAACTGGAGGACCGGCTGCAGCGATTTGAAAGTACTTTCATCGAGGCTTCTCTTGCTGGAATGTCATGCTGCCATGTCAGGTCGAGGGGTGGTATGAACGCGAATCCTGTTTAGAGGATTCACTTCTAGTCAGGAAACATTCAAGTACTTACTTCTATGTTGATTCGATTAAATTCATCAAAGCAGCACCAGGCCCCTGAGGAGGCCAATCCTTTGAAAAATTTTGCTATCATTATGAAGTCCATCATTTCCGAGCAATTGAAAACTACACACTGGGTTGCCAAGGCTTTCGCCAAGTCCTTTGTTGTTTCCGTTTTCCCGGTCCCTGCAGGGCCTGCCAGCGATCCTCCTGAGGCAGCACTACCACCCCCGCAGGTGCTCAGCACTGTGTTGACGTGTTGGAATGTCAGTGCTACTAGACGAATATGTCGAAGGCAGTCCGCCAAAAAAGGAAGGGAACTCCGCTTGCTTACCAAGATTTAGCTGTTGAGCGCTCAGCAGCGTCATATAGGCCATGTCTGTAAGTGGAGTGATTACCAGCCGGAAGGTGTTCCCGAGGTATTCGTATCCGTATGGGAAGTCGGTTTGCACACACTGAGCCCAGCAATTGTCATCTCTCCAGTAATACCTCAGCTGGGCGATCCACTCAAATGCTTCCACGCTGGAGACTTCTTCCTCCCAAAGGCGCTGCACAATATCTTTGGCATGCACGTCAATAACAATAAGTGCCCCGATGGTAATGCTCTGCATAGGGCTGAGCCCCTTCCGGACGAGCGCTACCTGCAAAATGCAAGCTACGCAAGAACCGCTGCATGCACGGTCAGCACGTTGGTTCGTTTTAAAGAATTAAGTGGGTGTTCAATACTCTCGAGACGCCTGGGTTAGTCACTCATGTACACGACAACCATGCGCTGCTCCATTGTCATACGACTAGCTGTGCATGAGCCACTCATGAAGGGGTCTTAAACATTTCCTAAGATAGGAGCAGGAGCACTCGTGCTCTAAACTGGCATTTCCCGCTTAACTGTTGGGAAGCGATCTGCACTTTGAAGCGTGATTTGACACTGGTTGCTTTGCAGACTCACCAGATCCAGGAGTTGCTGCGTTTGAGTTTCCATAAAGCTCTTAAGTTGTCCAGTTTGAATCGCATCTTCTACCAGAGCTGTCCAATGCGCCTGGCTGCCGTTCAGGACGCACTGGCCAGCATGCTTCGTTGCCCACGTTGTCCGCTCAGATGTGGGATAGTCAAGTATAGCTTTGTGCAGTGATTCCCTCACTGACAATTTCATTATCTGCTCCAGATCTTGCATCCACGTCTCAACGCCTCTACCTGCTGTTATGAGACCTTTCACGAACGCCATCCTTTCGCCTGAAGGATCATTTCTCGTGGAAACAGTGATCATACTTGTTCTTGCAGTGGATGGCGGTAAACTACGAACTGAACAGGTAGTCGAGTGCTCGCGACGTACCCTCTGCGGAGAACATAGCGGTAGCCACAAGATCCGGGGAAAACTCCAGCTCATTCATGTTCTCAAACACCTTGCATAGGAATGGCTGAACTTTTAGTGGATCCGTCGTCTCCGACAAAATCTCAAGTAATTCGTCATTTGAAAGAAAGTAAAATCGAGCGAACTGGCTGCGTTTGAGTTCTAGATATGATTGCAGCTCTTTCTGCACGCGTTCTAATAGCCTGTTATTTTCGCGGAGCTTGTCCAGGAGGCCAGGCGTTGTACATGCCGTTAACACCAGGGGCTCTTCGTATGTATGCCGCATGAGGACTCTCCAGGCAGTATCAACTGTGAAAAACCTAAAATAGGAAGATAGTATGCAGCCCGTAATGCAGGTAATGATGTTTGCGCATTCCTTCACCTCTTTGCTCTTCGGCATATATTTCGCATCGTGATATTTCCGTAGGAGCGGCTGGTGCATTGTTACCTTTTCGTTTCTGCTGGAAGTTGCTTAGGTATGTCAGGTGAGTGGAAGATTGGTTGCAGGTATAGCCAAGCTCTCTGGCACTTGAGCCACTCATCAAGGGTTTCGGACGCCTGATATCACACGTAGGAGTGGTTTAGGGTTTAGAGTTCGTTTGCAGCAGCTAGACTCTGCCTTTCAAGATATTTGCAGGAAAGTTTTCAGGGATGAGAAGCTAATCGCACGTACCGTCATGATAAGAGTTGCCCACTCATCAATCTCTTTCTCGAGTGGTTTCTTGTAAATCGAAAATTGCAATCCCTGAGTAGTCATGATATGTTCATCAAGCAATGCAACGATTTCTTCTGTGCCTTTCAGGATGTAGGTATCCGTGTCCTTGTATGTCTCGGGAAATTCGAACTTGATGTGCTCCCATTCGGCTTTCATCGTTTGAAGGGCCTGAGGAGGAGAGGAAACTTTAAAGTGACTTCAGCTACATACCACTAGCATGATATCGAGAGCATTATCCATCCTTGACAACGTTGGGATATCCACAGTTCGCGTATCTGCCTTGAAGTTCTCTAGCGCGCTTACCTTTTCAAGGTAGCTTTCCTTAGTCGCTAGCTCTCCCAGTTCCACTACGAAGTCCGTGCATTCTGCAATCCCTTTGTTCAACAAGGCACCTAGGGTAAGACTGGCGCCCTCGTCCAGGTGAGGTTCGCCAATGCGTTCGAAAAGCTGTGGATATGGAAGAAAACGCTCAAAACTGTCGATCGACCCCTACGTTTTGCGCGTGACCTGCTTAACTCAGTTCAGGATGAACAGAGGAGGCCATCAGCAAGAAAAGTGCTCACTTTGTTCCAATGGCGTTCACGCATTCCGTCGTTTCTTAAGGAAACAATGATCGGGACTAGCGGCTTGAACTCGACAAGCTCGTTAGTGACTTGCGAGGCTTTGGCGAATACCTCGGGGAGGCCGCGTTCCTGCAAAATTTTCTCCACCCGCTTTAGTGCTTTTATTCCCCCGTATACCTGCAGAAATCAGAACAATTACTGCTGAGGCAATTATCATGGTCGTCCCTATCTCTGGAGAGAGTTGGCAAGCTGGTATCATAGAGCACCCCAAAACTCCATTATCGTAGGCATGGAGACTTAATTGTGAATGCGGAAGAACAAGTGACACTGGACCTGCTTCTCGATTTCTGCGCCGCTTAAGCTTGCGAAAGAAGCAGTGTAAATCGAGCTTCGCGTGACGCTCCACTGGTACGCTGTTAGCCAGAGAGTTGAGAAGGGCTCGAATTCCTGCGCAATCTTCAACACTGACTACCAGAGCAGTAAACACCATACTGGGCTCTCCCGTGGCTAGTTTGAGGGTAGGGGACCCAAAGCGAACCTTTTGGATCTTTGTTAAGGAGGTGTAGTCCGTCACATCTCTCCCGAAAAGACGTTCCCTGTGGTTGAACACTTTGGCCTGCTGAATGCTCATTTCAATCCTCTCTCCAACCGCGAGGACGCTGTCGTATACCTCCGCAAGTTTTGACATGTCCGTGAAGTTTGCAAAGCCAGCAACAACGTCAGCAAGGTCTGCAATGGTGGCTGCGAACTCGCACTAGCAAAAAACGGCGCCAACAGAACGGGGAAGAAATGCGTACGCCGAACGTCCAGGTCGTAGAAAATGGTAAAGGAATATGCCAATGCGGCGTCTGCCGAACGTTGATGCGTCGCGCCAGACGAACATTGATGAACAATCTAAGAACAGATTCTTACCTGCTGAACTAGCATGTCATCTAAGAAACGAGCTCTCTCCTTGACAAGGGATGATGCCACTTCATTTGACAGCTCGAGGATCTCAGCCGGCGACCCGTAAAGTTTCCAGCGCAGATTATGATCCTCCACAAGGAGCTGTACTAGAAACAAATGAAACAGACATGCGTTTGCCTGTAAGTGTTCTACACATGGTGCACACATGATTGTGCTACCTGACGCTGTGCTGGACTGCCGTCCTTGCCCTAAATTCAATTATTGCTACCGCGCGATGCTCACCCTGTATTTAAAGGATTCTAGCACATCAAAGATATGTAGCACTGCTTTAATGTCGACGGCGAGTGCCTCGAGTTTTGTTGGGGTATCGTCCATAAACTCTCTCAGCTCTGTGAGCTCTTCGATTCCCGTAGGCTGCTGCCGCAGTGTTGTTGTGATCCTCTTAAACTCCTCCAGTGTTTGTTTGCACTGATCACGGAAGCTGTGGCAAGATAAAATATCATAAAATTAAACACTACCATGATTTAGAGAAGCCAAATCCTACAGTGCGAATGAGAAGCAAGTCTGAAAAGCATCGCGAAGACCCAAGGGATTCACAGGCGCCTACGCTTTATTTGGTTAGCCTGTGGCACATGGAGGGCTGCCACCATGACATTAGCTCATATTGTTATCCTGTCTCACCGTTTTGCTAGTACATCGAGAAGAAGCTGTGAAACGCTTCGAACGGTTGATTTCAAGCTGCTTTTTATGTCTTCACAACCAACGCAAAACACTCCAACGACAACTGAAGCAGGAATGTCTTCTTCTATTTGCCTAATTCTCTGCAAAGCAAAATGCCGGCAGCATTTAATAGTGCCGAGTACATGCAGGTCTCCTTTGTAGGCTGATATTTATGACTAGCTGAAGTACAACATCCAAATCTACACAGGCTTTTATGAGCTATGCCTACCTCATGATAGCCCAGCACAGCCTGCCTGAAAGTTTCTGCAACACTCCCTACTGAAGCTTTTTGCTCCGTTTCCGCCACAACATCAGCCGAACAAAGGCAGAGAATATCAACAAATGGCTGGAAGTGGTCTATGAGCTTTTGAAGAAACGGGAAATGCAGCTCGATGAGCCTCAAAATATTTTGTTTGCTTGCCTGCATAAAAAGTACAAGTAAAGCCTCAGCCCACAACTAAACGGCCAACTGCTGTTGTTTTCCCACAGCAGTGTGGCGAATCGGTGCAGGTGCAGCAACATCGCATATCACCTAGTAGACGCCTGGACCTGCGAAATGACCACACTTCAAAGTGTAGCTAACACCAAGGATTCATTGTGATTAAAGTAAGTGCCAAGTAAAAGCAAGAGGCTACGGCTGGAACTCCACCTGCACTGGGGCTTCTTCTAGTCCAAGGGGGGCGGCTATGTGTTTCTGCTGGCTCTTGAATAGGTGGGGAAGGACTATTGTCTCTGGTTGAGGTATGTCCCCCATTCGCGCTATCCTGGACACATATGCAGCGCAAAAATATCCAAGCCAGGTGATCGGAATAGCAAGAGACCCAGTCCACTCGCGTACTTCCAAATGCCTGTTTGAGACTTGCCCTCTGTCAAAAAACTCGTCCGCAGCATCTACAAATGCTTCTGGTTGCGGTGTCAACACAAATTGTGACCCATCAGGAGATCGAGTAACTTCGACAAAGAAAAGGCCCTTCCACAGCAGCTTGCGCTCAAGGGACTTGACTCGCGACTCATGGTAGACGTTTTGGACATCGGAAAGAGACCTGATGTTCACTGTTTCAGGCGTTGAGGTCCGGAAGAGCTCCACCAAATCTTCTATAGAACGCGTTGCCATAACCCTGAGAACTTCACATGGGTGGTGAACAAGTGCACTTTTAGTAGAGTAGGGGATCCAAAAAGAGGACAGGAGATGCGGTAGAGGCAGTCCAATATTTTGAGGTTATATTTCTTACCGTAGGGCGTCCCTCATCAAGAGTCGAGTCAAGATAAGCATTCGCTTGATTTTTCCGTACTCGTATGTTTCTTTGTTAAACTCGTATATGTTAAACCACCCTTTTCCAACATGACGCAGGTTGGTGTCGATAATTTCGTGCAGTTTAGACGCCCATGCTTCTTGCAAAAAGTATGTGACCTACGTCCAGAGGCGAATTAGTTTCAATATACGACAGAATTTAGCAGCGGTTATAATTGATGCAGTGAATTTGGCGGGTTTTGCAAAGGGCCAGCCAGGTCATCGGACGCGGTGGTACCACAAACCTGACTTATCGAAGCTCGCTGCATCTGGCGGAATTCATCAAGCTTTACTGCCTGAGCACAACATGAAGGCAGTAAATGCCCGAGAACTCTACTACACGCAGGGATGATTCTAAGGAAAACAATAAATTGAGGACGCGATTGCTACGCACTCTTGGGAATGACGTATTAAAAATACGTTTCTCCAACACGTCCACGCATTCTTCACGTATGCCGACCATGGCCCTTATGACCTCAGTTTTCACGTAAAGGGAAGTAGAACAAAAGGAAGCGAACGCTTTTGAAAAGTCGTACGTTGGAACCGTGACCAATGCATGCCTGCAAGGAGATGTAGCAACAATGCGACATCAGGCAGAGTTGTGGCTTACTAAAATGATCTTGAGGTAAGCTTTTAATTACAAAGCGAAGTTCAGCAACCCAGTGTTCCCTTCCGGCACCAGGCGCAATGAGCAAGGGTGTTGAACCTATTTTTTTATTCTTAGGTTGATGAGTGTATGAGATGGTGTTGTCCATACTAACTGTTTCCTCACCATGACGGTGGGCGTGGCTTCGGTGCTGGGGGTAACTGTAAGTCCGTACGCAGTCGCTTGTCTTTATTTCGGTCAAGAAAGATGTCAAAAGCAATTTTGTTCATCGTCCTAGCGAAGTAGGTGTTGACTTCTTTTAGCAAAGAATCTACGGTGGCTGTTTTGCATCGGCGTGTCCGAGGACAACTCAAAGCCTTATCCATCACTCGCTTTTTCTGCACTTCATCTGCAAGAGAAATTTCGAACGAAGCGCTTTAGCTACTTGCAGAACAAACCGTTAAGGCGGATGCGTCGGCATGGATGCTGCAAGACTAACGAGTATGAGTTTCAGGTTGCAAACAGCCGTCTTGACGTGAACGCACCCAAGCCAGGGATGTCACTTGTGGGCATATTGTCTATATAGTAATTATATTGGATAAGACTCTCCGCAGCAGCCCTGTACGACAGCGACCACAATTAGGCGAAAGTGCCTTTAGGCCCAGCTGCTGGTGTTGAACATGATAATAATGCAGTCCACAGACCTAAGCCCACCGTCAATTCGGCACAACTCGCACAGAGGGTGCATTGGAAGCGACTCAGATTGATGCACACGGGCTTATAAACCGACCTTGACTTATGCGCCGCTTGCAGCCTGTCAGCAAACTTGACTGGGTCCTCGCTCTGCGGAATGTACAAGTAACCAGGGTTCGGTGGGTACAAGACCTGCGCAGCTTCTGTCTGCGTTCGAGCTCTATGGAGCAAAGGAAAAAATCAATTACCTTGAATAGAAGCTCAATCCTCAACAACTCGGCGTTATCTTTGCGATCGCAAAATTGAACATGAAATTTGTTAGAGACCTCATCATATGCGTACACACGGCAAGCCTCCCACTTGCAGTCTCCCGCGCCGTCTCGCCGAAGGCCCTGGCACCACAGTCGAAGGGAGGGCTTGATTTGAACAACTCAAGCGATGGTGATGCGAAGATACGTACTGCAATATCAGCTACTAAACGCCTCAACGTGCAGGCAGGAGTACATGCCCTTGTGGAAATATGTTTGCAACAACCCCATTCTAGTACAGTGGCCCACCTTTCCAGGCAAAGGCAGGAACGACCCGTCTGGAGCTTTGCAAAGGGCCATCCATTCTTGTGGTGAACGGTCGTCAAACGTTGTATCATCGAATGGCTCAAGTGGAAGCCTAAAAACCGTAAGTTGGATAGACAACCACTGGCATATCTCTAACAAAAAACCCAGCACGACTCGAGCAGCATGTGCTTTCCATCTGAACCCATAGTTTTGGTGAGCTGCAGCTCTTCGCAAGTTAATTGGTCAGAAAATATATTGTGCAAGACATTCAAGGTGCGAGTGCTACACAACTTGACACATATGCTGACACATATGCTAACCAGCTCTTTGCTTCAAACGATGGGTCCTTGTAGTTGATGCCGCGCTCCACAAGTAACTGTTCTATGTCGTATGCCTCGTACGCCCGGCGCCTTCGTTCCACTGTGACCCTCCGAGGCGCGCTTGTGGGAGCATGAAACTTCGCCGCTATGACTTTCGGCTCTACTGGAGCAACATCAAATACTGGGGGTTCCACAAGGCCTAAATGCAAACAATCGGATTTGCTGAACCTGGCAGGTGCAAGCAAGAACCTTCAGTTGTTGTCGAGGCTATTATATATATACATATATATATATATATATATATATATATATATATATATATATATATATATATATATATATATATATGGCGCAACAATTATCTTGACGAGCATCTAACTGTTTCCCTGAAACGGACGGCAGATATCGTGTCTACAATGCAGACCTTTAAATGCCGTGTCTGTGGACTGAAATGTTCTGGCAGGAATCGGAGAGACGAAAGAAGCTTCTTGCTCCCTCGCTCCTTCTGGGGGCCCCCTAGACGCTTGCTGCAACATTTCTCAAACAGAACACGTATCGACGTTTGCTGAACCCTCCCGGAATAGAATCTTCAGCTGGCTAGAGGGGGTCAGTGAACAACTCGTACAGGCTTGCTTCTTGAAGATACGCTCACGGAAAGTGAACCTCAACAAACTCTAGACTGAACAGGGCTGGAAAGGCAACGGAGAGCTCCAGCTGTGCGAGTACTCATGCAGATGGGCTTGTACATGTCCACACAATACATAAGTAGAGGCTTTAGCTTCTCACTCGTAGGCTGTCAGTTTGTTGATGCCTAAGGACCTCCGAGTAAACCCCACGTTCCATGTACATAGGAGTTTCTTGCCCTGTGCTAGCGTCGTGAGGGCTCAACTGACGAGCGCCAGGATGGCAAGAATGACCTGGACTGCCACTCATCTTCAATCGTAAGCTTTTGTGGATGTTTGCGTAGACGGACTAACCCTTTTTCTTAGGGCTTTCCGCTAGCCGGTGATTATCCGTTTCCGTCTGAAATGCAGGCGTCGCTACATCAGGGATGCTTTCTTCATATTTCGACGAGTATAAACTGCAGGTTTTGCGGCATAGCCGTAACGTCGCGCCTTCCTGGAGGCACTAAATACGAGAAGGATCGCTAAAGAGTACTGCGAGTCACCGCTCTTCTGAAAAGTGGGCCCCGATATGCTCGTTGCTATCCGTCCTGCGCGATTGGCCAGCAAACGGTGACCGCTCTGTCGTAGCCTTATGGAGCCGAAAGTCTAAAACGAGTCAAGCAATGGCCCCCTGGCACAGTCATCTGAACGGGTGTCGGATGGCCCTATTGTGCGCTTGCGCACGGGCTTGCGTTGCCGCAAGGCTGGCGAAGAGACAGCAGAGGCCAGTGGCCTTGGTGTTCAGAATTCTCACGTTAGACTACGTTCATCTAATTTGAATGCTTTGTGGGTATCCGTCGGAGCAACGACGGTCCGTTGTCCTGGATAAGCTGATCGCACAGAGTGCCTCAGCCTGTCGAGGACTTGGTTCACGCAAAATTCCCCGGAAATTGTGGTTCAAGCCTACCGTTTGGCTCACATCATTATGCAAGCACAAACCATTTATCAGTTCACGCTGCGTACTGAGAACACTGGGTAGGTGACCTGGGGCGCAGCAGATGGCTGGCCGATTTCCCATGGATCACCGCAGCAACGTCGCAAGGAGGATGAATGCTGAGACGAAGGACCCTCCAAAAGCTATCCTGACTGCATTAATTTACTCCGCAGCAGGTGTGCGCACTCATCAAATGCGAAACAAAGACGGATTGTAAACGGCAGTGGGGCTGGCTGGCCGGGTAGGGACAGTCAGCTGCATTCCTTGGGTAAGGCATGCAGTGCAGCCTCTACACTTCATGAGCCCCCTTAGGAAAACTAGAGTTAAAATGGCTTGACTGCATGGGCGAATGCCGTTGATTAGCCTGGCGGCAAACTGCCAGCAACAATGGCTGCGAGATGCGCCAAACAAGGCAAGCAAAACGTCAGGTTTCCGCCGCTAGGGCCCTACGCTCCCCACATGGGACGGAATTGTTTGCCATGTAATTTTCAAAGCTCTTTTCAAAATTAAACATACTAAGCTAAATCCGAAGTACTGCCAGCGTTTTGTTTTCCCTTTTCCCGGGCCAACGGTCGTTAGGTTGGTCATTGCCAACCGAGTCCCACGCAAGCAGTAAAATCGACAGACAGGCGATCCCATATATAGCTCACCATGCTGATTTGCGTAGAGCAGACTGCTCAGATCCGTTGGCCACACTTTCTCTATGCTAATCACCACCTACAGTTCACAGTTTGTTAGCTGCCGAGCCGGCTAACCGGCAGCAGAACGCGGGAAGCAGGAGGTGGGAGACTCGTGCTGTAGTGTTTGTATAGTTCTGCGCGCCTTTTCACTCAGTAGTGCTTTACGCCTCTGTCGCTGCAAAGGGACATACTATCAGTGTAAGCAGCTGGCGTGAGTGCATTACCAGGTTTTCCCTCGGTTGGGAAGAGCAGGGTGCAGGCAGTGCGCTACAGCCTCATTAGCTTTCTGCCTTCCCATGGACGGCCACCGTCAAATTGCCGTTCTAGCGGACGAGAGGATGTCTCGCTACAAGTACGAACAGAAGTACCAGCACAGGAATCAGGCACTGCACCGCAGACTTGAGCAACTGCTTGACTATAATCTAAACGAACGAAGCCACTGCCCCCTCAGAAGCTGGGCCAAACTGCTGAAGATGCTTTCTCCCGCAACTGAACACTTGCTAGCTACCTTTGGGGGGGGAAGGGGCGGAACGGGGATCAGATGCTCCAGTTTGCTGGGAGATAACGGCGCATCTAGCTATCAGGGTCTTCGCACGACCCTTTTGCAGCAGGTGTCTGCCTAGGCCTTGCTAAAGTTCCCAACGATTCCTCGGCTTTGGCGGCCTTGAAATTGTGACTGTTTTGAGATGGAGAAAACAAATACATGGAACTGTGGAGCCCTGGAAAAGCAGAGCCCCAGAGTTTCTGTTCGATTGCCAAAAAGTGAGCATGCTGCTTGCTACAGTGCAGCAGAAGCAGCAGATCGGGGGGTACTGAATGCTGCTGCCGATGCTGTACGCATCAAACTGCCATCTCCCCACCCCCCCCCGCTTGTCCCCTGTTATTGCCTCCCCCGTTCTTGTATCATTTGGGCAGGTATCTCGGCGTCTTAACCAGTAGAGAATGCCCCTGCCTGGTCGAGGAGCTTCGGCGAGTACTCCAGTACCGTTGTTTCTTGGTTGTCTGCAGGAGTTTCGAAGTCTTCAGGTGCAACTTCTGGTAGCCTAAGGGCCCCACTACCTGGGGAATATCCTATCAAACTTTTAAATGCGTTGGCGTCTTCCCACTGGGTAGTAACAGTAGCCATCAAAGTTTTGAAAGCTTCATCTGGAAGATATGGGAAGAGCACTCGCACAAACCAACAGCTTGAATTTTGGGTGCGGCAATTTCTAAACTGTAGAGGGCATCGTTTTCAGTGTGTTACGTACCGAAAAGATCCGCGCCTGGACCTGTAGCAAAATTGTAAGTGGCAGATGCAAGTTCCTCGCCTAGCTTATGCCTATTAACTCGGCGTAAAATATTGTCTCCTTCCAGATGCATCAGGTACCAAGAACGGAAGATCATTTCCCGCGAAGCACCAAAGCACTCTTTGAAACGTTGACTGACTCGAAGTGCAGCAAATAGCCCTGTTAGAGGGTGAGGGGGGCGAATGCGGCGAGGCAGACTGACGCCTAGGTCAACGATTTGCCGCACAAAGTGGTCCACATGGTGCGCGCTGACTCCCACACTGTTTACTATTCCCCCGTAAAGAGAGCGCGCTGCCCTTCTTGAGCCGCCTGTACCAGCCGGTTCGGAAGCCACCTTTGCTCCAGCATTTACTGAGGCCACAACATGAGCACAGGCGTGCAAATTTCTGTTTCAATCGTGCTGCTGGGTTGTGGATTTATATGTCTCTTGAACTGGAGAGACCGCATCGCATGCCTCTACATGCTCATAGCCAGAGCGTACTCAGGTTTAGACACATCTTCATCGCTCCGCCTGAAAGACACACCACAAAGGGAGGTCGGATCAGGAATCTTTTAGTTTCCCTTCTCTCGGAGGAGATCGAATAGCCCATGGGACCCTCAATGTTTTGAACTGTCTCTCGATGACATACCAGAGAAGAGTCCTTTTAGCGCCTTTTTTCTCTTGTTGGATGCCGGCGTGTCCTCTACATTATAGTCTGCAGCGTTTTTCAGCCTTTCAATGAGCATCGCGTGGGCAGGGCGGCCGTTCGGATGCTCGAATCCAGCATCTACTTGCTGCTGCTGCCACGCCGTAATAAATACACCCACCGAAGTGCAGAGAACTGCAGCTTCGGCCGCCATAGCTTTGCTATTCCGATTGATGTGTTCACCAATGAGGGCAGGGAGGAGAAGTGACATTCTGAAGACGAGATCTTCTGTCGACTTTAGTGCATCGATGTAGCAACGGCCGAGCACAGTTGACCGTACGCATTTGCATTCGCCTGAGCAAAACACAACGTGGAGAATTCTTGCTTAGAATGCTCCCGCGGAGCAACAGCTGCAACCCAGCATTGATTTGAACAAGCGACGCTCTGCATTCAAAGTGTTGCCTTTTTCACGCTACTAGTAACAGATGCTGTAAGATTAAAAGAATTGTATCTTACTTGAGGACGGAAGGAAGAAGGGCACCTTACTGTGCGGACCTGGAAAAGAGGTTACAGCGTAACTTAGCAGGGCTTTATTTATGATTGGTTGACGATGATCCGAATGCACAGCTAGTGAGGCCATTCGAGACTGACCGAAGGGTTGAATGCAAAGCCGCTCCATTCGCTTGATTACTTACCGTGCACCTTGTCAATGATTGCCTTTATTTGGCCCCACGTCGCAGTGTCGGATACCGGCTGTCCGATGTCAGCTAGCCATTTCTTCAAAGGCCCTTGGAGAGCTCTTACTTCTGACTCAGGAGAGATCAACAACTCACCACAATGGTCGTAACTAAGAGCTGGTACGACCTAGTGAAATGCCGTGTGCTGGGCAAACTAAGAACCTTGTCTCTTCTGTAGCTCTCCTTACTTACCACGCAGAGACGAAACAAATGCCTCTGCTTCTTCGGCGCTGTTTGGAAGTCGCGGGGATGTCCACCCAAGCCTTTTGCAGGCCTGGCCGTAGATATCTGGATTGGTATAGCTGATTCTTTTGGTAAAGGGCAAGACTTCCTCAGAAACGTGTCTCTCCGGCACTAAGTACGCGCAGCCACAGCACACAAACCCCTATACAAAATATTTCCCTCTTGGGGTTGCGAGTCAGCACCGCCACCTCCAGCTGCGCTGGAATGCACATAAATTCCAGATTGCTTACTGCTTCGAGACACGTTCGACGAAACAGAGTTCCAGTGCTGGTCAAACAGATTAAGGATGGCTCCAGGAACCAAAACTACACCTGAAATGGCACATGGTAATGCTGCAAGCAGCCCGGAGGTTTTCGTTTGTCCGCATCTGCTGATCCGGTTATATGGTGATTAGCTACATGCCGATAGATGATTATATGAGTCCTCCTACACAGGACTCCTTCAAAGACGCATTGGCTCACAAAACTCACTTGTGGCTGTATCAACAAAGTTTCGAGCCTCCAGAACGGTTTCCGGCAACTTGTTTTGTGGCCACGACAGTGCTGTCACAATTATTGAGTACTTTTTGGGGTTTTGCTGTAGCAGTCTTTGTGCGTACTCCCGCACCTCACGGACGATTTCGGCGTCCCTTTCTGAGGAAAGGCAAGAGCAAATCGATTCTGCACAGTACCAGAAGATAAATATAGAGCACAGGTGCTTTTGAATCACCAAAAACTGTGGATACCAGATGTAAAACAGTTTTCATGCTTTTTCATCACTCAAGCTCAAACTACCTTGTGGGTTGCTGCTCTCCGACGCTTCTCCCTGTTGGCTTGTTCCTGAGCCCTTCAATATATCTTCAAGCAATTTTAAACCCCGTTTAAAACTGTACCACAGGCTGACGTAGAATGTTGAGCCCAAGGAAGGCCTGTGACCCTTTGCGGCGACAGCCGCATCAATCCCCGAAGCAACAGCAGCAACTTGATCCCTCGCCTCATCGCGGAATAGGTAATCTATAACAGGGCGATCCCCACTGCTTCTCGATACACTTACAACTGCGACAGATGCAAAACGGAGAGGAATACTGCAAGGAGACGCACTCTTCGAATCAAATGTGCTCATTCAAAAGTTACTGTAAACATTTCAAAGATTTTGCTAAAAAGCAAAATCTTTGAAATGAAAATGCCCCAGCACGCCCCCCGTGATCGAGCTACCAAAAGGTTAAATACGGGCTTACGAGCAGTTAGAAGCTGGCTCAGCTGCGGAGCAGCTGAGAGTACAGAGGGCTTGTCGCTTAAATCTGCCGTCTCAAACTCATCTTTAATGCTACCCGCGAGAACTGCAGCAAACACAGACAGCTCAGTAATAACATCTGCTTTGCATGTAGGTGAGTTCTTCGCTCATTCATTAGCGACCAGGTCCATCAATATTGAGTCCACTTGTACGTAAGTTCACAACAGCCAACGTGCAACACGAGAACAAAAATGCCCACCTGGAAATAGCAGGGTGCGGACGTATTCGTAGATGCTGTTTCGACCACCCTCCCTAAACTCGGCAAGACGCTGCAAAGCAAGCATTTCTCCGTCGCCCTCAATGCATGATGTGACAGCATCCTCCACTCGAACTAGGAAAACAATTTGAACACCACATTGCGCAGCGCAAACGCAAGGAGGAAAAATTTTGGCTGCAGGCGCTGCTTCACCAGTTCAGTAGGTACCTGCGGCTCTGCAGAGTGCAACGACGGCAAATAATGACTAGCCAGCAAATTGTAAGCTATTAGTCACCATTGCAACTCTCAACAACAGCATCTCTGAACTCAGCGCCGTTCATTAAGGCGGCAAAATCTTCCACTGGTGCTGTCTGTATGATGTTCTTGAGGTAGGAGTGCAATCCAGGGCACTGCGAGGAGTTGCTCCTTTCTCTTAGTATCATGCCGCTGATGTGCGCATTCAGGCAAGTTGTTGCATAAGCCCTCAGCTGAGGGAGGTGTCTTTGACTGGAGGGTCTCTTCGTCACTGCACACCGCGAAAGCACGACATCATGTGTTGGTTGAGCAACGCGGTTAGCACTGGCGTTTCAAGATGTTAAAACCTGGGATGTTCAGCTGTTCAGGCGGTGCCGGGAAGAAGTTTGAGATTCTGGAGGTCGACAGTACTTTTAGACACCGGAGCTTCAGTACTAGCTTTTAGCATTGTGCAGGGCAGGTATGATGCTGATACTCACACATGTCGGTGTGAAAGTCCATTTCAACTCCTAGAAGAGCCGAGCCCGTCGACGTTTCCGCTGAAAGAGCAACAATGAAACCGAGTTAGGTAGCTGCATATCCCTTGAGCCCTGCGTAATTGCCCGGGCAGTACAGCGAACTGCTGCGGGTGGCTGGGTCATACCACCCAAATAAAAGTGGAATAGGCCTTACCGAAAGCAAGAAAATCTTGTCCCCTGAACTCAGCCCAGGAGAGCGAGTCGGGCATCGTTTCCCTGTTAATCCCTAGCCCTAGGAAAATGGGAACGCCAGACACCGTGAAAGCACAAATGGAGTTGGTCACATTGGTCACGCCGCATCTCATCTTTCTATTCGACCTAAAAGCCGTTTCGGTGGGAAAGGTGGCATTTATCAATTCAGATCGTTACTTCTTTGTGTGAGCACCGTCTGGCCATGATATTTCTTTGTACTCTCTGCATTGCTCGTGCAGCATCTAGCTTACCTTGAATCGTTACGTACACGAAATCCCTGAACATCACTGCTCTGCAGAAATTGCATTCTGTATTTCCCTCTGGGCAGCTGTTGCAATGACCGCTTTGAAGGATCTTGTAGAGCGTGTAAATAGCTGTCCCGTAGAATGTTATGCGGTTAGCCAGGACCCGGTGCAGGGCTGTTGTGTCTTCCACCATCAAAGACAACGCAATGCGCAGTTGCTGAATCAGCCCTTTACTTGTGGGAGAGTCCAGCATGTTAATTGGAAGTCTCAGCACCACGGAGAACGGCCCACGACCTGCAGGATTCCAGCAAAACAAGCTAATAACACGACAGATTTCGTACTAAAGTGATAAATTCAGTTTGTCGGAGTGTCCACGATTTGGTTTTTGTTTCTGTAGGAAAAACTCACTACCGGCATATGTCCAGTTCACGATGACGTTCCTCGGTCTTCCTCCTGGAATCATTCACTCACAACGACACTACTTTCTTTTGCGATTTCTGACGGGGGTGCGCACCATAATAAATTTGAATCTAACACATTTTGGAATCGCCGCAAGGATAAGTTAAACCAGAAGCGCCTTGCATACATACAGGTGCCGAACGCAAAGCAGTGCCAAGGGAAGGGTCAAGTGAAAACACCTGTTGGCCTGTAGCGATTCAGCATGCTTGTGGCAAGTTCCTTAGCTGCTCCATTAACCTTTGCTGCACTCACAATTTCAAAACAACGTCAGCAAATCATCGCTACCCCTTCATATACTGAGGATCATATTACAAGTAAGATGCTTATTTGCACAGGATGGGAAAGAGCAGACAACTGTGGTTGGTTAAAGCTGCTTCGAGTCTCACTTATTTTGTTGCTTATTTCCGATAAGGCCTCAGCAAGACCCTGTCCCTCAGCTGAAAATAGCACACCAGTTTTAGCAGCAAAAATTAAGCACTACTGGTGCAGGCGTTTCCTTGTGATGCTGATAGCACTCCTTTGCATACTGACATACCTCTAGAAGAAAAGTGATTACGTAGCCTGTGAAGCATGGAGAGCATATCTTCCGCTGCCCGTCCTGCGTGCGGAGATAGCATGCACACTGCGATACCTCGTTCCAGTCAACTTGGAAGAAGGACAATCATAGTTGGCTTTGCTTGTTTTCTTGAAGCTGCACGGTCCACAGTGATTGATTCTAAGGTATTCAACTTACCTATGGCAGGAATTCCATGCGGAGCGGTGTTGTAGTGTATGATGTCGCCTAAGAAACAAATCCATTCATCCTTAAAACGCAAATGCACGCCCAATTCCTGCCTGCAGTCTCCACTATCCTGCGCTGAAACCTCTAGGAGGAACTTTGGCCGTGCTAGAAACTTACGCTGCAGCGCTAGGGCCTCGGGGACAGAGCCTGAACACAAACGAAATTGTGACAATTTCGCTTGCCTAGCAAATGTCAGACGAACTCGTGATTGGGTACTGTCTCTCACCCCCTTATACGAAGCACTGCTCACGCCAGGGCATTTTTAGGGAAGGTGCTTCCCGCCTTACTAAGCAGAAGAGATGATCCTCGCTGCATTTGATGTACCCTGTATTCCAATATTTTTCCACCGTTCAGCGCGTCCGGCGTGAAGAATGTTACATTTGGGCCCCCGACGAACACCCCATCCTGCAGGTAGCCAATGGAGACCGTCTTTCCATTGGACTGCTGATAGAGCATAGCGGCACTACCCCCGTTCGGAGGCTCGGCGGTGGAGATCACGGCCGGGCCGAGCTCGGTGTCGCCAGCCATGGCGTCTGAGCAAGAAATGGAGACGCACACGAACGCAGCACTTTGGATGCAAATGGTTACATGTCCGTAGCCTCTCGATTACAAGTGAGCACAATCGTGCATTATCTTGCAAAGATGCTGCATCACAAACAGGAATGTGATATAGATGCTGCTGGTCACCGTCCGCAAAGTTCTAGTAGCAACAGGGCAACGGAGGTAGTGGTGGATTGGGAGGCACCACGGCCTCTTCCTGCAGCTTCCCTCACGGAGCTCTGTGACGTGAAGATGCGATGTAGAAAATGTTGGTTGATAAGAATATAGCTTGAATGTCTCTTCGGATTTTTCTTCTACAGGAAGGGCAAGCACAGTCCCAACTGGGACTTCCATCCACAAGTTACTACCGTGAATTTTCATTAGCAGAGCTTCCCTTTCAAAGTCTCCGAGAGGAGAAAGGGTAAGCTTGTGGCATTCAAGGGGCGCGTCATGTTGTATTTCCGTATGAAGGATGTTGTTGCGCTGGTATAGTAGCCGGTAGTTTCTCGAGGAGCAAGGGGACCCCAATGCGCTTTCAGGGAAGGCCTGGACCCTAACTGAGGACCGCAACAGGCAAGCACGAGATTCATGTAATGGCAATTAGAAAGAGGAAAGCCAGGACACTAGGACGAATCAACGCGATGCGCCGTATAGAGAGTTGCAGCTGACCTGGAACAAAAGCTTTCCTGCCGCCAACGGAGATGTACGAAAAGCTTTTTTCTCCCCTCAACTTTCCTAGTACGGGGTCAAATAGTTTCACGGAGAAGACGGGATCCTCGTTCTCGGTCAACATGTCGCACGTCGCAGGTTGCCCTGTTAGCTTTAGCTCCACTGGTCACAGGACACCGCAAGATGAAAACACGACACCAGTATAAGTCCGCACGCTAGAACAAGCATGCCATATTCTGGCCAAATTTGAGCAGGCACATTGGGGGCATCAATAAAGAACGATTTCTCACGAGACACCTTAGTATCCTCCTGGGATCAGGCACATTTTAATTGGCGGTGCATATATTTTCAGTTGATTTGGACAAGCTTAAAAATTCCGTGAAACCCTTCGAACAAGGGAAACAGAACAACGTAGATATTTGTAGGAGCTGCCAATCTTCACACGTTCTACTTACGCGGCTGAGAATGAGGCAAGTTCACGTCGCTTGTCTGCATGAATGAGTCGAAGTAGAGTAGCCTCCTTGAGGCTTTTTCACAATAGATCCGTGGGGCCCTCTTTGTGCCGGTGATGGCCACTGCTTGCTTTCCCGTAACGAGAGGGGGCATGACTTCGCAAAATTGCAAATCTCCCTCAGTCCTATCTATAATGGACAAGGACGTAGGGTCGAACTGGCTCGGGAATTCCACAGCTCCAAACGGTGAGCACTCTGACGTAGGAGAAGAAGCAAATCAAGCTGACATCCTCGACACACCATCAGTTACAGATGGGAATACCCACAAAACCCCGCCTTCTGGGCTGGAAGTGTCTAGGCAATGGGCTGTGCACGATATGCTAATTAAGTTATGGATTCACACTGCATGTGCATTACACACGTCGATATTTACTTGCGTTCACTGGGCTGCTTTAGATGAGGTTAAACTGTTGTTACACGGGTCAGTATGTGCTTACTTAAGACACTCGTATCGACTTCCCCCGTGAACTGTCCATGCACGTCGGAGGGGGCCGGCAAATTCACTCCGGAGTGTCCTGCGTGCGCCAAAGAAACGGACAATTTTAGGCTTGCATGTGAGCCTACTCAGAACAAAGCTACCTTTGGGTGCTCACACCCTTGCTAACAAGACGGCAGCCGATCAGAAGCAGGCATAGTCAGCCAGATCCTTCATTGTAGGCACAGGTAGGACGTCTGTTTCAGAACAGCAAGCCATCTTTGCGCTTTTATCGGCCTCGCCACCGGCTAGCTTTAGCCTGACGGCAGAGGGGCCAGCAGCAGTACGTTCTGAATCCAAACATCACCAGGTCCTCCTTAGTTAAGTGCCTCTCCTCACTTGTGAGGATGCTGCCCCCACTAGGGTAGCGCAGATAGACGAGCTCAGCGCCGCTTCCAGTGGTGAGGACAGCACTGTGTTGGAGATATTCCACAGCGGTCTCGCTCGGGCGCGTGAAACATTGACGATAAGCACGAAAGTCGCAAAAGACAGGAAGCCCGGGCCCCGCGACAACTGCAGAGAAGCAGAGCAGGCAATAACGCAAGTGAAAACATGAATGCTGAAGACTATCTCCTGAGCGGTCAGCAGAACAATCAAGACTCACCACTCTCGAGGTCTGCTTTCGTGGAGTTTATCACGTACAGCCGGAGGCGATCGGCCTCATTTTCTTCGCCAAACTTAAGAACAGCTGTACCATCTGGAACTGTTCCCGTTATCTCCGCATCCTCGAAGAAGAAACCCTCTCCCCTTCTCACCACTCTGATATCTTCGGGTAAAATGACTTGGGAAGGCAGAACTTGGCGCACAGCTAACAAGGCTACGTGAACGCAGACAAGACAACGCAGGGCAGGAAAACCGACTCAAATGATGGCAAAAAGAAGACAGGTGAGGCTCAGGAGAGCTGTGGGTTAGGACCTGTAGGGGCTCCGTAGGTACACAGGCAGACGCTGCTACCTCCATCAGTGAGTCTGCATCGACCTACGTGCGAGTAGATGAGTTTCAATGGCATCTACACATATAAATCCAGGAAGATTTCCCACTGTACCGTTCCGACAAAGCTGCTCTACTGTGTTCTTACTTGCAGGGTTTGCGGAGAGGGAGAGGGGGAAAAATGCAGCAGCAAGGAGAGCCACGGCGCCTAAGCGGCCGAAAATCTGCGAAGGCCCTAGCTTCATCATGAGCAAGCTTCTTCCCACGTTGTGTACAGCACGAGAAAGTTAAAACAAATCGGAAAAAGCAGATGAACCTGTTAATGAAGGTAGGCACTGTAAGGCCCGAAGCCCATCAACTTCCTCTTCCATAGGACGCTGTGACACCTTCAGATGTTCAAGGAGAGTTAAAGAGTGACACAAGAGAAACGGCTAATTCAGATTGCGCATAAAAACCATGCTTCCTCAACTGTTTAGACTATGGTTCAGACGAGTTTGCGAGGCCTCCTGCCCACTCCCTTACGAGCCCACCCTCGACACAATGAACACAGGTTATAGATGGATTTTCTGCTTTTAAATATATGCGAGAAGCGGGTTTCTGTGGGGATTAGAAACAGATGGGCCTGTAATGAGGGAACACCGCCAGGGGCCGGCGGTCACCGAGGCCTGGTCCAAAGGTTTCAGTCGTTTGGCACTTGACCCGTTCTTCCCTTTGCAGGAAAACAATTCATAAAAAACAAATAATAATACAAGGCAAAAAGAAAACAAACATTTCCCCACAGACACCCACAACATTTGGGGCATTCAAGGACCGTCGACCCTCATCGGTCGGCGGCGCCCGGATGTAAGTCCCAACTGAATTCTGTAAACCAAGTGGGACCGTTTTCGTCTATTTCTCCTTGCCTACAATCGAACTTCTTCTTTATTAGATTTTAAACAGTTTTTTTCTGATAAGGGAAGCCACCATGAAATAGGGATTGCTGCTGCATCACTGCTTCGTATTCCCATTGCCTGTGGTCGCCGGTCACACGGGGTAGCAGGGAAGCAACACGCATGTAGATATGCAATGACTCCAACACAGACGCTAATTCAGCTTTGCTATTTGGTTTGCTGGGGGAAAGCGCCAGGAAGAGAGGGACAGAGGCACGTAAGGCACTAGGCCCGGTAGTTCGCCGGATACTTTCCCCACGAAGTGCAGAAACGGATCCGTACTGATACAATTCACTCAGCTAGCTATCGAGAGCAACCGCATGCTGCTCTATACAGAGGAAAGGTGCTCTCTGTGTTGATTGTGTACTAGGATCCACGTAAACAGCCCCCGTCCAGCATGCCGAGGAATCGGCAGTGAGAGGCAATAAGGAACAAGCGCGAACTAACAGGTTCNCCAGCAACCTGGCTATCTATATGGGGCCCAACCCCTCGCCTGGCACTTGCTCCCCGTAAAGAAATCGAGAGAAAAAGGAAAGCGAGGAAAGTTAGCTACACCGGGCTTCTGTTGTTCTCCAGCATTGGCTCAGCCAGCGCTGGTCATCCCACTCTGGTTGAAATGCAAAGTGAGTCATTTTGCGTCGGTCGCTTCAAAACTTGCCGCGCGTCAAAGCGCAGGCCGACAGTCCAGCGGATTTACATAGACCGGCACTCACCGAACTAATTTTCGAAAGAAAACTCCGAGACGCCTGCCTGGGTACGAGCAGATGTATTCCACGTCTCTGCGCAGACCAAAGGCTGCTCGTGTACCTCTCTTCCATCAAGGAAACTAAAAATGTTTGGGCAATCAGAGAAAGGCACGAGAGAGGTATGAAGCGCCTCTCGTGCACGGAAGTCGACGGAGGAGTGAAGCGGGTCTCAGGACTAAGAAGTGAAACCTCTTCGCGTTGTAGGACATTGTTACCTTGGTAAAAAGAATTACGGTGTTCAGGCGGAAAAGCTGAAGGGCGCTTCTTCTGAAGGCCCAGAACCCGCGCATATTGTTTTCACCCACGTACATAGTAGATACAACATTGCAATCAAACAACAGATCCGAACACCCCGACGAGCGATCACGAAGATACCTTCTCTCTGCTCTTCTTAGAAACACGTACGCTACGCCTTACGCCACCTCCAGCCTCCTCCTCCCAACTCAAACCATCCCCAGCAGCCGTCAATCCCTTCTCGGAGTCCCTCAGGAGACTCTCCTGTGCACATGGCCTCCTAGGGCCCTGGCTGCCTCGACCGCTGCTGTGTGTGAGACTCGGCTGAGACTGCAAAGATGAGGCGTGTTGCTGCGAGCAGCTCTCCGGAAGCATCTCTCCCCGTCTAGGAGATGCAAAGGAAGGCACTGATGGGGGACGGCCGCGGCCAGTTGGTCGACTCGGATGAGCCGGCGGATGCTGGGGTGTCTTGGCAGCTAAAGATCCGGCACAGTTCGGTTTCTGGGGCTTCGTCTGCCGGCCTGAAGCAGAGGGCTTCGCCTGAGTGCCGGCCGGGGACTGCGCGCCCCGCGTCTCATCGCCAGAGTCCTCCTGCTCGCAGTCGGAGACCAAATGAAGTACATCTTCTGGAGTCAGCCCACACCATTCGTCTTCTTTGCTGAAGAGAGACGGAGGCGGCGAATATGCAGATCCTGTCAGCAGGCAGGCAGCCTGCAGCACGGCACGCACGGACAAGACAGCAGCTTGACTCAAACCCCACTTCTTATGCTTCCTATTGAGGCAGGCTGTACAGCACAAAGTACCTCAAAGGGACACACTGCGCGCAGTGCCGCACCTTCGCAAGAAAAATTCAGTAGGTGCGGGTCGATAAAGTGCCACGAAGTCCATAGCTGAGGTGCTTTCTTTGAATTTATATACATTATATATACATATGTATGTATAGATGGATAAACATACGTATACAAACATATCTAGGTGCATATCAATAGATGTAGATTCATTCCTTTCCACTCTAACCCACTTGAGAGTTGCAGGAAGGCAAAGACGAAAGAGGCGAGCAGAATACAAACGAACTCGGCATCGCTTACCTCTCTGGCGAGTTCCTCATCTCGACCGCTGCCTATGAACTCTCTCCAGCCCTTTCGTTCCCCTGCCAAACCTTCTGCTTGAGGAGAATCCTGATGACTGCGCTTGCGCTTCCTCCCCGGTTTCTTCTTTACTGCGGGTGCCGACGGGCAAGATGTACTCTGCCCCTGTCGGCAGAATAGCGGGTGGTTATCGATATTCAGGCTGCGTCTCTCAGCGCGAGGCGGCAGCAGCAAATGCAATAACGGCTCCGTCACCATTAGAAAACGGTCCACTGTGGCTTGCTCGCTTGGACGAAGGCAAGTCTAAACGCACACCCACCAGCAGCAGCAACAGCAGCAGTTGCAGCAGCAGCTGCATCACCCACCTCTTCAGTAGCCTTCATGGCTACTGGGGTTAGGGTTTAGGGTTTTAGGGTTTAGGGTTCAGCGAAGATCCGTGACAGTCGTTGCAGTTCAACTTTTATTTGGCTATTATTTTGTTTTATTATTTCTTTCAAATAAATTCGATAAAACACCTATAAAAAAGAATTTCCTTCTTATAAACAACTGCACTATGATATTTTATTATATCCACGCCAACGCTCTGTATTCTTCTTCTTTTGCTATACCTTCACAGCAGCCCGCACGGCGTCAACGTCTACGGTTTCATTCATCAATTGAGTTGTATGAGTACCGGCTGTGATAGCAAGATGCTGATGTTGCATTTTGTAGAGTCATAATATTACTATTATTATTATTTTTAGACTTATAATATTATTATTATTATTATTAGATAATATATAATTATATTTGCTGGGGTTCTGCCGTCTCTAGCCTTGACTGCTCACACCTCTGCCTCTAAACCCTAAACATTTATATTTGAATGAGACGAGTAAACCCTAAACCCTAAACCATAGACCTTAAATTGTAAACCCTAAGCATTTGGTTTGTACAGGTGTCTGCTTTGAATCTGCAGCCTCTTTATATTTATTTTTGTCTCTAGCTCTGCGCTTTTTGCTGTATTCTCTTACGCGCGACAGCTGACAGCTGCAGGTGAGGCTCTCGCTGACGCCGGCATCCAGATGAACGGCAGCGGCCTTCCCCTTGATGTCATAGTGTAGCGGCCAACCGAACTAAGAACCCAGAAACACGCCCCACAAAAAAACACTATACAATCAGATCGGCGAGTTACAACCCCAAAATAAACACACACAATACACACACGCGGACACAGGCAGGCAATAGAACAAGATATTCGCAAGCACATATCAACAGCGGGCCTCACTAGAACTGAAAACAACTTTGCTCCCTGCTGCTGCTGCTGCCGCTCTATGAGACTGTTCTTACATTCTTCATGGCCGGCAGGAGCATCCAGCATTGCCTTGGCCAGAGGTCGAGATCTCTTCGATCTATAAAGACCGATTTGAAGCTTTGGACCCGTGTTTGCTGCTGCTGCTGCTGCTGCTGCTGCTGCAGCGAGGAAGGTACGTAGGTGAATGCTTCCAACGCAAAGGCCTCCACGACAGCCCGCGGCAGCAACACCTGCAGCAGCAGCCGCGTGCTGCGAGCTGAGAGGCGGTGATTCACCCATAACGCGCGCAGCTGACGTTCGTTAGAAGCGAGAGATTCAATCAAACAACCACCAAACACCTTAGACAGCCCCACCGTGTTCGGAACCTGCAGCAAACACAAACCCTAAACCCTAAAAACTAAAACATACAAGACCATAGGCGCAAAACCATCCATTGCAACACCCCATTTTGACCGCCAAAACCCAAACCATAGACTTATTAAGCTTAACCCCCAAGCCCCGAGAAGATGCATCCCAGGTGTACGTACACATGGGTGCGTTTCAAGTGTACGTACACCTGAGACAGCCGCGTCTAGAGGATCAGCTCACCGTGTTTTTTCCGGAGGGTTTGGGCCGGACCTGCTTGCTGTGAACTGTTAGCAGCAAACCATCAAAATCCTCGCATAACAACTCGCGACTCAGCTGCTGCAGCTCAGCAGCAACAGCACGCGGCAGCGGCTGCAGCCGGAAGGGCAGGTGGCGGTTGCGCGGATCACTGGGACAGTTGCGTACCGATGCTGCTCACACACAAACAAACCCTAAACCCTAAACCCTAAACAACGAGAAGCGCTCCACATCCACACCTACCTACCCCAGCTTCGTATGCGCCCTAAAACCTAAACAGTTCATTTCATCATCCAATAGGGAGAAGCCATAAGACACTCAACCCCCGCATCACTACACCCCAAACCTTAAACTCTGAACTGCCAAGATAGATAAACATATAAATGAAAAGTATGATAGACTAGGGTTTGTGTCTGCACCTGAAAAGCTCCAGTTGGCCTTTATACGTTTCGCGAGGAGTCGCTGGTGGTTGAGGAGTTTCAGGTGCAGCGGGTGCTGCTGCAGCTGCTCTGCTACATCTGCCCAATTTCTGCATTTAGGCGGCAACGAAAGCGGCAGCCGCAGCAGCTGCAGCCGCATGCCATGCCGGTCAAACCATGCATCGCTCTCCTCAATCAGAAGCCGCTTCTGGGCCTCTCGCCAGTCGCCCTCCATCCCTCGTGGTGTACGTGCAGCCCATTTGATGCCCCTGATGCTGCTTTATCTTATTTTGCTGCGCTTGCAATTATTTCTCCTGCTACTGCTGCTGGTCGTGTAGCCCTCTCTGCTGCCCCCGGGGGTGATGATACTATCGTTGCCGATGTTGCAGCTGCTTCTGTTGCTGCTTGTACTGCTGCTTCTGCTGTTGTCGCCGCCTACTCTGCTGCTACTGCTGCTGCTTCAGCTATTGCTGATGCTCCTCTTGCTTCTGCTGATGGCGCTGCTGATCCTGCAGGTGCCGCCACAGCTCTCGCCACTGCTGTTAGAATTGGAGCCGTTTGTTAGGCCCTGCGCGGGTCTCCTGCTGCGTTTAGGTGGAGGCCCAGGGTCCCTTTTTAAGAGTTAACGAGAAATGCAAGGAAAAGACGAAACCGCTGCTGCTGTGCTGCTGCTGAGCAGCGCGCGGCTGCACCCCCGGCACTCTGTACAGAAATGGCGCGCCAGAAGGGGGAACCGTAAGACAAGGGGGGGCCCTGTTACAGCTGAAACATCAGAAATCATGATGTGCAAGTTTAAATCAAATTAAAATGTATAAACTAAATTAAAATAGACTTCTTTTCAAGCTTGCAAATCCTGCGAGCTGAGACCGGGGCCCCCTCTCCAGCTGTCCATTGCAGCCCCGCAGGGCAAGCCCAGCTGACGGTACACAAGGAAACAGTGAATATCCTTGTTAAACTTCAAAATTAATGAAAAATTAACGGTACATTTTGCCGCAATCAACTGCTTTCGCACGCATACAGCTGGGGGGTAAACACCCGATGACCCTGAATAGGGTGGCTGCGATCCGGTCGATGAGATCTGCAGAAGACAGAGGATAACACCCCAGAAATATTAATATTATAGAAAGAGTATTTCATATACGGCTCATCTATCAACAAATACGCGCGCCTGAGCACCCCCTGAAGGCTGAGGTCCTATTGAACACATACAGAAGCAGTTGCACGCTCTGAGTTATGTTGCATGATCTGTCTACCGCTGGTACATCTACTTCTACTTGGACGGGGGGTTGCTGTTGAGGGACGAGTGAGCGTATAGCAACTGTCTACAGCGTCAACGCATGCAACAAAAGGGGCTTCCTTGCGCTTGCCTTTGGGGCTGCTCTGCCGCCCCAGTTGCAGCAATCTGCGTTGCAGCTCATGGCTGGAATCCTCCTCCCCGCAGCACCCCCAAGGCCAAGTGCTGCTACTCCTAGAACGCCGGGGGGCTGGAGGGGAGTTCACCTCTCAACACTTCCGACCCTGTTGCAGCTGACGCCAGTCTTCGGCTATGATTGAAGGCCGTCGGTACAAACTGGAGCAGCGAAGGGCCCCCCAACAGCTGGGCAATTTGTCACATAGCAGTAATTGTTGTAGAATATTTGTCACTAAATTCAAAGCTCCAACAATCTAAAAAGAATGCAACTAACAGCTGCAGCTGCTGCAGTTGCTGCTGCAGCGTCTGCAGCACCACAGGGCGAGGCTCGCTCCCTGTGTCATGTATGTGGTCGGAGAAGTCCATTCTGAGCGTTTGGTGTAAGCGGTGTGCCTGCGCTTAGGGTTTAGGGTTTAGGGTTTAGGGTTTGTTGTTGGGGGATGTGCAGGAGGACTGACGCCACTCAGCAGGGGCCCTGCGGCGGGGTGACAGGCTGCTGCATGCAGAGAGCAGCAGCAGCAGCAGT